AAGAAAGATTAAAACAATCCATGGGAATTAATGTATTTCCCATGAAAGTCAACACATATTACTTTCGTTTTTTCTTTCTATATAGTTTCCGGTGGGGAAAATTTTATAGTTCGATTCCCCGAATTTGTCATTGTTTTAGTCGTGGCCTTGGAATATTGACCTAGAGAAATATGTGACGACTGACGATATAATACATCATTTTATATTTTTATATATATAATATATAATCTATCCGTCAGACCCGTCTACATCGGGTTATTTTTTCTACTCACTGAACTGCTAATTAGACGACATTAAATACACTATGCGCGCGAACCTGGTTGAATCATCACGGTGACTGGTGGTCGCTTAAAATACCAGGTAAACGGTTACGTCAACCGCGATATTATTATTATTTTATTATGTATACACGCATTGCACACGCGTGCATGTACGTGCAGAAGCCTCGTATAATATAATAATATTATGTATGTTATTCGACGTCGGCAGCACTATAAAAGTCGTCTTGAATGCGTTCAGCTGCCATATAGGCGTCTACAGACATTTTTTTTGTGGGAAGGGAGAGAAGGACAAGCTCTATATCAATGTTGATAATAATAATACAATATATGAAAGATCGCATAACTACATACAATTTATAATGTATATATTTACATTTATAATAGGATTTTGATTTTTTTGACAATTAATTTAAATTTTATAGAAATCAATGCGTACATTAAAAAAAATATTAATGAAATCTCACATTGTCTTCAAAATATTAAACATGCAAGTAGCATAGATTCATTTTTTTACAAAAATATCAACCTTTAACCATACTAGACCTACTATATTATCATCGGCAGTTCTCCAAAAAGCTCTAGGGAAAAATTCCTATTCATTGCCTCCATCTTAACTTCGAGAGCTCATGGCCTGCTGTATTGCTAGAGGTGACGATGACAGCATAACAATATAATTGTATAATATACAGTATAACATTATTATTTATTATATGCACCTATATAATTGGTAATGCATGTTACAAATACGCGGAAAGGTCGATTGACTGCCCCCTCCCACCCTCGGGGCCTATATTGCTAAATATATTGTCGGTATTTGCCTACATCTCGATAGATCTTTCATTATGTTCATTATTAATTTCATACAGTATGCTACGCTACACAATATTTTCTTAATTTCCTAAAAAACTGATTATTTTTATATTTGGTTTTTTTCATTACGGTATCTAATATATTATAGTATGAGGTTAATTGTATTTAAGTTGTTCGTGTAAAACGTTTTCTCTCGAAATCGCACGAGTTGGTTGATATATTACTAATTAGTGTTGCTGGTGAAATAGATCACTCCGTATGTAATATTATGACGTACAATGAACAGGTATTACGATCCACAGCCGCTGTGCTAATTAGAAAATATATCATGCATTTGTATGCATATTATGTATGTATATAGATTGTAAGTCGTACTATGTGCTATGTGTTCCGACAATGAGAGTTTGACCTCAGGTTGTGAGGTTTCGCTGTTGTTGGTTTTCCTTACCCCGGATCTTTTGTTTTTCTCCTAGGTGAAATTGTGTTTTGAGAAAATTAGTAAACGCGCGTCCGATAGAGGAGAATGCGTTTGAAAAACGTCTCCGAAGTCGGCCGCTTTACGGTCCTTATGTAACAACAATATTACGACGACAGCTGCATGCGGTATTTATTACCTAAGTTTATAATATAATATGATGTTTATTATAATTATATTATAGGTATACAAGAATAATTTGTTATTACCGAAGCGGGCATTAGTTAAATTATTAACATCTGAACATATTGTTCGATTTCATCATTTGAAAATCAATATATCGTACAAATGCGTCGTTGTTTTGTTTCGATCTGGTGTCATTTTATAATAATTTTGTGCTTTTATCCGAAAAAAATAATGAAACGTTTATTTTTTTGCTGTAGGTCAGTATTTTAAGTTATTACAGTGACTGAGTATTAAAACGTGATGAAAAATAAATCTACAGGTTTAATCGTATAGGATATAATAACAACAATTATTATTTAACATACATATGGCCACCCTAATTCTTGAACGTCCACTGTTATTTTCGAATAAAAACTACCTATGTAATTTAAATAAAAATCTCTATTTCTTATTTTGATTATTTAAATCTTGTCTTTTAAATGCCATGTTCTTGTTACTTAGTTAGATGTATGGAAAAATTACACAACCGTTTTAAAAACATTTATTTTTGTAACATATGATAACGAATTAATAATTAATTAATTATGCACGATGGCATTATGTTTGGCATACTTTTTGCGTAGGTTTGCTTTTAGTGTCTTCTGAAGAACGTTTGATGCATCATATTTTATATATAATATGTCTGAATCGGGAATGCATAAACATAATTATATTATTATCTTTTAATTATTTTTGCATCATGTATTGTTATGCATTTATGGTAAATTTCAATTTAAATATTTAAAAATAATGGTTTTTCTTTTTGATTATAACAATTCTAACAATATTCTTTGATATGTGACTATTAAATTAATCTTATAGTTACCTACCTACTTATTCCATATTTGTCATTAATGTTAATGCGCCAAGAGACCTTTTGTAGAGCTATTGTGTGGTTTTTTTTTATTTCAATTATTCCCAATGAATCTGAAACCTTCCAGATAATATTTGCAATAAGTGTAACTAAAGATAACATTTGCAATAAGTGTTATGAGCTAAAATGTTACTCATATTTTGTGCTTAAGATATATTTTGTCATTGTTTTTGGTTTTTAATTTAAATCTCAAAGTATTATATTATACTATATTAGGCACATAATTAGGTTTAATAAATTGTAGTTTAGAGCCTAGATGATTAAAAATGTTTGTGTGTGCGTGTGTGTGTTAAGTACAAATATTTTACACATATACAATATACGGGGTGATTTTTCAAGCATCTATTTTTATGCTTAAATTATGCATATATATTCAAATTTAGATTTTTGCAAGCTTTTAAATGCACTTGAAGACAATTTTTCGAATTTTTCGAATTATTGAATTTTTTTAAACCATTTAAGGATCATCAAAATTGATCATCATCATTCAATACAAACTTCAGTTTTCAAATCGGAACCTCTTTATTTAATTTTTAATTATTAAGTAAGTAGATATTCTTTTGAGAATATTCATGTATCTGAATCAAAATTCAAGCTAGTAGTTTTTGAGTTATGTAACTTTGTGTTTTAAGGATAATATGTCTATGATAATAGGTTTAAGTAGATAGGGGACTTAAAAATACTTAAAAATCCTTCTGTATAGTGTACATACATGAATACATTATTATTTTTGTTAATTTAATTTTTCAAAAAAAGTTTTGAAGTTCTGAAGATTAATGCCAATGTATAAATGTATTAGGAAAAGGTGTGGTAGCCAAAGCCAAATTATGATTTCAATTGGAATTATTCCATTTGATAAACCCACTTGACCGTCTGCCAATCTAAAAATGTGTACCATACTACTATGTATTACATATCATTGTCTCTAGTTAATTAATTAAACTGAATGTGTCATTTTTGGTTTTAAATATATTTGCCAGAAAGTTTTTGTTTAATAGTTTATAAAATAATCATTATTCATACATTTCTTGAGGAATACTTTGTTTTTTCGTTTATCATTTCATTGTACCGAGTTAAGTTTATAAACGATTAGAATTTAACATCATTGTCTGGCAATATGATATTAATAGAGGTGTCTGCATGTGTTGTCCCCTTCAAACGTTGGTATAATATGGTCAATTTGCGTTCAGCAGAATACATTTTGTGGTGATGATGTACTATTACAGTATAAATTGGCCTATTATCAAATTTTAAGGTAAGGATGATTTCTGTGTTACCTCGTTACTTTTTTTTATATTTTAATTTAAAGCTAGTGAGTTATGAACATTTTTAAATGTTAATATCTTACATAGGTTTATACTTACAACTTTTTTTCATAATTTTATGTCAACATTTTTTCTTTCATTTAAAAAAAAAGTGACAAGAGAACATATGTTATCCTTGCCTTTCAATTATATGGCGGGTTGATTTGTACTGAAATATAAGATTCGTAACGCAAAATGGGTTTTTTTGAATAAAAATTTGCCATATTGTACGTTTGTAATAGGGTTCTTTTAAATTTTTACTATAAATAATTGAAATTATATAGGTATTTTTGTTTATGACACGGTTAGTTTTTTTAAAATGGATGTAAATCCCAAGTATTCATTACGGTTTTTAAAATATCCATGTGTATTGAATATGACAATGTAAACACGGAGTTACGATGACATATGTAATGAAACAGTTATAACTAATTTGGTTTATTACAAAAATAAAAAAAATATGAAATTTGTATTGACTTTGCGTCTAAAAGAATTATCATAATAATGTGTTTTGTAAATATTATCTACTATCTACTAGTTAATATTATTAGGCAGGTATTCCGATTCTGACAAAAATAAACTTTATATTAATGTTTGTGTAGTGCTAAATGAAATACTGTACAGAGACGTAAAATGTTCCAAATAGGTCGAAGAAAAAATCGAAGCAAAATGCATAAGCGATAAATAAATTCTTGTAAATTCGATTACGTGTAGCCGGAACGCTCCCAGATACAGTAATTACACGGTATTGCATGTCTAATGAATATTGGTTATATTGGGGCACAGATTGTAGTGTTGTTACTTGTTATACATTTTAAAATTTAGAAATGTCGTAATTCGTATAGTTGTATGCAAATTTATTTGTATTATAATAACTAATAAGTACATAAAAGATGAATTTTTCTTTGCCAAGCTTATATGTACATAATGACGTGGCACAACGTTATTATATTTAGTGAAGCGTATATTATAACTATATAGGCCGTATTAATAAATTGTTTTGCTTGTGTAAACTGTTTTATGGAAAATATGTTTTTAACCGATTAAAACATAGACTAAATTTTTAAATAAAATTGTTCTTTTATTTTCAGATGAAAGAGATGCCATACAGAAGAAAACGTTTACGAAATGGGTGAACAAACATTTGAAAAAAGTGAGTCATATAATATTGGTACCTATAGAGAGTATTCTATTTTATTATTTATAGTTATATAATATGTGTCACAAATATATTATATGAATACAAATAAGTATTGGCCGGTAGTTAATACAAATAATAATGTTATAGGTACTTAATATGTACAATGTACATATATATTGTTTAACATAAAGTTCTAAAACTTTGGGTTTATTTTATAGACAAAACCTATAGTCGTTTTACGTATTAATAATAATTATACACCTGTCAAGCACAAAATGTAATAAATTATACATTCTCCCATTATTTAGATAGTGAATTGCATCGTTTTTGGTCACAAATGAGTCTTATCATTGAACAAAACAAACAAACTCGAATATTTTTACTCGTTGACGTGTATATAAATATATTTATTACCTAGTCACTTCGTTATGCTTAGCTTAGCCTGGAAGTTTTTTGAGTAATAAAAATATATCGATGTTCAAAAACATCGTAATATTTTATATTTTAAAAATAATTATGGTCTGGCATTTAAGAATACATCTCACATTTTTGTTGCATACACGGTTTTCGAGTGATTTATTTTAACATTATATTACTATTTCTTCTGTTACTTAAAAGTTAAAATTATCGACCGTCGTGTAAATTTGGAAGCATATTTAGTTTTAACAATAACGATGTTTTTATGAATAAAATCAATATGTTAGATTATATGCCTATGTATGTCGTATCTTATTTATTAATACAAAATTTTAAAAAAATGTACAGTTTATTATTTCACAAACTCATCATAATATAGGTATTGAAACCGTTATTTTTATTTTTCATTTTAAATTGGAAATATTTAATTTAATTATAGGAAACAGATATATTTTATAAAAAAAAATACGCTACCTTTAATACACAAATAACTGAGGATATTATGTTAATTCAGTCCCCTAAAATACAAAATACTTAATAATATAATATTCATTAATGATTAAGAGGAGTGATATGTACCTCAGTTGTTAGGTACCTACCTTTTTAAACTTAATTGCATAATGTAAAGTCAAAATATATTGAGATTGTTGAGAACAAGGAACAACTGGTTTTTAGTAAAACTTTTTACCCTTTTTTTATGTTAGTTTCTGTGAATTTTCGTATACATTCTGTGAAATTTTTTGTTGAGTTGCCTGTTAAGTCAAGTTTCTGTTAGAAATTACTACATTTTATTAATATGTAAAATGTTGAATTCAATTTTATCATCAGTTAATAATATGAAATGAAATGAAAATAATACTAGATACTATAGGCATAATATATAAATATTCATTTGGTAATTAAAAATATTGGAGGGAGAGTGAAATTTGGGAAGATGTTTGTTTGTTATGCTGTACTTGCGCTTTTCGTTCGTCTACGAATTAACTGGAAACAAAATTACTCAAAATACATTTTGTTCTAATAGGACGGCTATTCATACAACCCAAAAATATATAATGCATCAACATTTCGTTGAGAATAATTTACGTCACCTAACTATATTAATTTGTAGTGTACAAGACTATGCTGTACTTTGAATGAATATTTAAATATTTGTTTTTAATCAAAATTTAATATATCATATATAAAGGTAGTGTTATAGGTTAGGTAGGTATCACTATTGTTTAGTTATACATGTTCGCATTTTTAATTGATTTTATTTATAATCACTACAGTGTTTCTAATTTTTGTTTTGATCTTATTATACATATGCTTATTATTTTTCGTTATTATTCTATAATTTTTGGGTCAAGGTATAAATAACATAGTATAGGTACCTAAAAAAATATCAACGCCAACTTACTTTTTTGTACTAGTTAATGATGTACCCGCCAACACAAAACGGAAACATTTAAATATCATATTATTCATATTGAATAATATATTTTGGTTTGGCAAAAATATTTTTTTAGGATTGGCATATAGTGGGTATATATTACTTCCGCTAACGAAAATAAAATAAAGTTTATCTTTCAAAAAAATTTAAATATTAATCTAAAATTTGCAATACTTAACATTTTTTAGGGAGTATGAATACCTTCTTGAGTATCACTATGGGGTTTTGTGGTATACTTATACAATAATTATTCAATATAAATATTTATTTACAACCGCTAATAAATAAAAACTTATTAGTTATGTTTCCCATTATTATATTACCTAGATACATTTAAGTGTAATATAGTCTATAGATAAAAATTAATATTTATGCTCATATAAGTTATTGTATGTTTTTTTTTCATTTCACCCGAATATGTGAAAGCAGCATTGGAAATACTCTAAGGTAGGATAATTATTTAGAAAAAAAAAAAACTCACGTTTTAATTTGACACGATCGAAAGAATTTTCGTTCATTTTCCTCGTAATTTATTTTTTAAGTAAATGAGTAAATTGTATGTTTCAGACATACACTTGTTTGCAGGCGTGTTCTAATTCTAGTTGTTCTTGTGTAAGTTTACTTGAGTTGAGCGTTTTCGATATTTTCTTTTGAGTGATAGTTTTTATAAAAAAATTGATGTACTGTTGTAACCTGTAGGTAGTATTATTTTGTGCGTGTAGAAAGTTTATATTCTTTGTCACTGGCTTTCGTGTGTTTAGTAGTCTGTATCACATTTTTCTATTTTCATGTATATTTAAATATTTTATTATAAACTGGATATGCAGCATATTATTACTAAACATGTTGATGCTTCAATATTAATAGATAAATGTACAAGAAAATTCGAGTGTTTAACAATAAATTGTTTGGTTTTACAGGCGAACCGTCATGTTGGGGACTTATTCCTCGATTTGCAAGACGGTCTGAACTTGATATCATTACTCGAAGTGTTGTCCGGAGATCAATTGGTAAGCAATAAATAATAATAAATATATAGATAAGAAATTACAAAATTACGTATATAGGAAGGTATTTTTTTTAAAAAAGAAAAATGTTTTTACGTGCATTGGACAGTATTTAATATGTTATTAGAAAAATTACTTTCAAGGTTTCTGGGGTGTGCCTCGATAGGATATGTAACGTGTCAGATGATCATTAGGTCATAATAATCGATGTTTGAGTAACCGAAAACTTTTGATTGTGGCTCAACACGATAGTTTATGTGGGCGGTTTCGCCAATTCTGTCGCTTTTAATTGTTATCTTTTGTGTTTGATAATTTAAGGGGTAGGCTAGTTCTATTATATAGCAGAGTTGTAAAAACCTAATTGAAGGAAAATGCTATTACATCCAAGAAAGGTGTTCCCGGCAAACCGGACAATGATAATTACGGCCAGCAGCTACTTAGAACTTGATATTCCGTATAAAGTGATGCGCCAAGGCCTGAAATACATCCTTGTCTTTGTTTTGCTGGGGAAAATTGTGTAATACAATTTGTAAAAAAGTCCATTAAATTGTGCCTATTATTGTTCAGTTCCAATGAATATATTGTATTTTTTTTTATCTTTTCGTAAACATTGTAAATCGTATATTTGATAGATCGACAAGGACAAGTTACTTAGAAGTTACTCTAAATGTTTGTAATAATTGTTTCCGAATTAATTTTCAGCCAAGAGAAAGAGGCAAACTGAGATTTCACATGTTACAAAATGTCCAAATGGCATTGGAATACTTGCGTTTCAAAAAGGTAAATAATTCTACTTTAATGATAAATATTGCAAAGTTATAATCATTTATGTGTGTTTTTAGATCAAACTTGTGAACATTCGGGCCGAAGATATTGTAGATGGCAATCCAAAACTCACGCTGGGTCTCATATGGACTATTATACTGCATTTCCAGGTTAGTGTCGTTAACTTTTATTGATCAATATGGGTATTTATGTTCGGAACGGCATAACACAAAAATAAATTGTTACACAACGCTGGTCACGTGTGATAGAACAAAACACAGGGCGCACCCGAAAACCATGTGTGGTTGATTATGGCCTACGCGGTCAGTATTGCTAGTTTTTACATTTTCAACAATTCAAAAAAAAATATATCATTTAAAAGTATGTTGTGTAGTTGCTAGCTAGAATGCATTTAAAAACTGGATATAATATGACGTACATAATACATACTTATAATTTTGCTATTTCTCATTCGTTTATAAATATCCTTTTCATTTTATTTAAAAGTTCAAATACCTACTTTAAAAAAATACCTTATAATCGAGTCGATTACTGAAGTCACAGTGCATTATAATTGATTAATGTTCATAATATCATGTTATATATTGATATAGCTAGCTAACCTCTGAATGGTGACTTAATTGTTTGTCGGTGTTACTTGAAAATGTAATGTCTTAGTAAAATTGTATGTCCTCATTTATTAAAAGTGATAAAACCTTTTTTTAATACACTAAAATATAAATTTTATACAGTTAGTACTATTAGAAATGAGATTTTAAGTTGGGAGTTGGGTAGGCAACTATAAAAGCATTTAAGTAATAGTAGTTACCTTGAACGCTCCTTTTTCAATAATTAGTAAGAATGGTTTTATCGAGTGATAATAATATTATAGTTGTACGCAAAACAGGGTACATAGTTAATTTTCATATCTTTTTATTTGTTTTTAGTGGTTTCTATCATATTTAATATTTTTAATTATTATAAGTACGTTTATTTTTCTCTTTTTTTTAGTTCCTTATCGTAAAAACATTTCTTCATTTGAAAGTATGTATTTTTAATTATTAATCGCGGTGCATAATTTATTACTACATTATTATGTGATGAATATAAGTTAAAGTTTTCCGTGCGAAATTTTAGTAAACATAAAAATTCTAAAGAGATAATTTTTCTATCATCATAGTCACAAATGACTACCGAATGATGTATATTAAGTAAATTGTAATAATTAATTACATTTATTGTTCTGTATATAACTGCTGTCTAATGTCTATACATCTCCGTTCCGTATGAGATTTTTATCTTTTTTTTTTTGAGTACATTAGTTAAAATTATACCCACCACGTAATGACAACATATTTTCTATAAAGTCTATTGAAATACGTCAAATTATTATATTATTATATAGTAGTAAGTTGTGTATCAGTATTTACGGCATCGAGCGTTCTAAATGTCCGAGACAATGAGAGTACCTATTCGAACGGAGGAACGGTATAAATTTTGTTTTGCCAATCATATCACGAATAGAGGCGTTACTCGTAATAACGTACGTCACGAAATCACAATTATGATTTATGCGAAACTGTCGTCGTCTTGTATCATAACGGTGGCGGCGCGTGTCATCGCGTTACACCATATTGTCAGCGCGGCACACTGTATACTTTAATATGTATACCTGCAATATTGACGTCGTAGTGATTTCCCGGAACCATATTTTTTATACGTATAATATGTAGGTAGGTATATTGCGCTCGCCGTCCGGCAAAAAGCACTATAGGACGCTGGCGATTGTGAAAATCTGTTTTTGCCGCGTTTATATATCCGGTCTTAACCCTGATTTCCCGCCTCCGTCCGTACCGGTGCGTATATCCATAATGGAAGTGTGTTGTGCACAGCGGCGCGGTGTTTATGTAATCCGCGGCCTCCTCCAGCGTCCGCCGGGCGGGCGACTCCTACGCTGCGGTTCGCCCAAGGTCCCCGGCGACCCAAGGATCCGAACGCACCTGGCCGAGCGCTCTTTATATGGATATGTGGTGCACGCCGTATACGCGGCGATGAGATTTTTGGCCAGGTCGAACGTGGGCTCAGCGTCCGTGGGCGCCGGGCGTTGTTATCGTAACACATTACATTACCTACAATAATATTATAATATTCTGGTAGACCATCTGCGATGGCTGCTGGTGCTTTTCGAGGGGGCCTACATCACACGACCGACGAGTTCTGCAGCCTGGTGGTCAATTGCGTTGGGCAATCGTTGTTTTTTCAATGAAACCACCGCGTACCTAATCCCGACTCCGCGGAAGAAAATCTCGCGTATGCGTATCGCGTCTCGCAATATTATTCAATGGGTCCCCCTCCCCCCAGTGCCGGGTGCGGTGGCGGTGCGTGTGCGTGGTTATAACCTTGAAGTGCGCTTTTTTTTATTATTATTATTGCGGGCAGGTACCATACGCAGTCGCTATTTTTCCCCTCTACACACACACACACACACACACACACCGCAGTCGCGACAACACTCCGTATAGCGTACCTATAATATACCTGTGCGCGCGCGCTCCTCCTCGTCCTCCTACTCATTCACGTATTGCCTTTCTGCTGCAACACCGGCCAGGCCTCCGACGGCTTAACACGGTTCAGTTATCTCTTGTGCACCGGCCGTGTCGCGCGTGCAGTTAGTCGTCATCATCGTTGCTCATCGTTGCTCATCGTTGCTCAGTAACGGTTTTGCTGCTGTTGTCGTCCCGGACTTGTCGTATATGAAAAACGATATTAACGTATATATTTATATTTTCGTCGCTCTACACGCACCCAACGCATTCGACAAAAGTCGTTGTAAACGGTTTTCGGAAACGTCTCGTGCTCCGCTATGCGAGCGAAGAACGATTGACGCGAGCACCCGGATAAGACCGAGATCGATAGAGATCGAAACGCCGACGGTACATCATGTACCGGTTCACCAAAGCCTCCAAGGAGGTGTCGTCGTCGTCGTCGGGCGGCCGCCCGGGCGGTAGCCGGCTGTTCATGCAGGGCACCCGGGAGGGCGACGACGATGTGCGCGACCTGCAGGCCGTGTACACGAAACGGCACCTATCCACTGAGGTGACCGGATCCAACCACGAGTCTCAAAAGGTGGATAGGCGACCGGACGTCGGCAGGCATTCGGTCACCACGCGCGTCTTGCGCAAAACCACCGTGCTGACGCGCGGCGTCGAGGTGTCGGCCACCGAGAGCATGATGAAAACCGGCCAGATGATGGTCGCCGACCAGCCGTACGAAGAGTCCAAGAGGACCTCGTCCAGACATCACCAGGTCATCAAGACGAAGAAGGCCAAGGTAGTCTCGCAAAATCGTGCACAGCACATGCATACACGCACCTATATGTATTATTATAATATATTCGCCAGGTTTATCCTGTCGTGATGGGTTGCCTTCGGATTGCAAGTTTTCCTACAATCTAAAATAGCTAGAAATTGCAAACGATTGAATCAGTCTCGGCTGTTTTGCGGGAAATCGCAGTCCAAATGGCATTTTTGTGTGCCGACTGCAGTAGGTCCCTATCGTGTAGTAGTTATATTATTCGGGTATACGACTTGACATTTTTTTTTTATCTTTTAAGTGTTTGCTGAATAGTGGTAATTGTATATATGTATGGGACACATGTTTTGTTGATTTTTCTCATTGAATAATAGTTTTTTTCTCTTACCACTTTCTTATGCGCGTAGATAAGGCCGATCCGTTTTCGAATGAAAGTGGTTTACAAATTATAGATACATGTCATATCAATACACTATATGATATGTATGTACTGTGTTCGACACATTATGTATATAGTAGTAAAGTACTTAACCACATACACGCACTGCTCACGCACCATAATATATACATATGTCATATACGATGTGTGTTGATGTACACAAATAAATATTATATTGGACGCGGAGTAAATCCTAATTCAGTTATACTTGTTAGTCATTACAGTAAAACCTCTATTTATGGATTCACCCCCCTCCCCTTATCCTGCTACGCTTATTTTTTAAATACTTCATTAGAAGATTTCATGTATTGTACTTGTACATCACATTCTTCCAGTAACACAGACACACCTCTGTAGATCGGACCAATTTTCGTGTTCCACCGCAGTCCGTCATATATAGTTATCGTGAGTGAAGTGTTGTGTTGCATTCCTTAATCTATATTTCCCATTTTAAGTTGACACCAGATATTTTAAAAGCCATTCAAATAATAGTTGAAATTAAATTTTGTCGTCATATTATGTTAATCAGTTTGATTTCACGCATGTTTCATACATTATTTGTTTAATGATTTTCTTTTAAAAGTTGATAATCTTACAACTATCTAAATTGTATCATTCCTAATTCCTATATATTTTATTATGACATAATTTATTTTAATCACATATTTATATGTTTACCAAAAAGATAACCACCGCCTTTGATAAACTGACGATCATATTTTTTTATTTGTTTGGTTAGTAATAGACGACAAGAGTCCATAAAATGTACAACTTGTGTATTTTAATTTATTGTGTACTCGTTTATCATAGGGCATTGTGTTGTTATACAATCGGAAATGACACAGATGAGTGGTTAGCGTATTGGGGTTCATTTTATGTTAATGTTAAAAATTCGATATTTAAGATAAATTTGCGGGTAGGTAGGTACTTGAATTTAAATTTTCTCGCACATATGCAGACTGTTAGAGTGCACGTACCGGAAACAAGAATAAGGTGAACGAACCTACGTATTTCAAAGTGAACGGAGCAATTGTTAATGAAGAAGTGATCTGAAACCTAGGAATAAAAGCTTAACTGTGCTTTTTCGGTTATTTTTTGGGGCCGGTAAAAAATGTCATCGAATCCGAACTAGACAAACATCACCTGCAAAGTGCCTACGGCCTACCTAAAAATTTTTGCGCTATTATTTACATGTTGTCTCTTGTACCGTGTACTATGTGTAATGTATACAGTTGTGTACTGTACATCACCTGACTGAAACATAGTTAACATGTATACAAACATGGATAGTATCTACGTACATAATGTCGATGTTTTACTCAGTACCCGCTGCCATAATAGCGAAGAATAATATGACTATGATCAGGGCACGCATGGATGGTTTCTTTTGCATGCCGCACATTTCCTTCAAACGTGCATAATGATGGTGACCTGATTTTTGATTTCTTTCTTCGCGCACACACTCACACACACCCATAAATCACCTCTCTCTCTCTCTCTCTCCCTCACTCTCTATCACTGTTATGGACCGAAGTCTCGACTTTGAATCGTCTTCATGAGTAAAAATTTGTTTTACTTTTCGTTCGTTTGCTCGAATGATAATTTCAATCGAAGAATAAAATCACACATAATTTGTCCTACTAATAAATGACATGGGCGAGAATGTGTTGTGAACGGCCTCTAGAGCGGACCTACTGCCCATTTAAGGAGAAGACTGGTGGCTCGGTCGAATCGTAAAAAACACGTATACCGAATTGTATTTTGTTTTCGTCGGCGGGCATGCGCATTGTTGACCCTAATAATAATTGTCTTATTTTTATTATTATTATTCTGTGTAAAAAAAATATTACTATATGTACAATTATGTATATGGCACTAGTGTAATATGGGTAATTCGAACCCGCCTCCGGTGGGACGAGAAACCTTATGTGGACATTTAATACACGCGTCGACTTGTAATGGCGTTTTCAATATTTTCATTATTATTTTTTTTTACGTTTTTATTATTATTGTTATTAATTATTAATTTTTAGATATCTGACATTGTGGTTGGTGAAGAACCAAACGTATCGGCGCGTGACGCTTTATTGAAATGGGCTCGCAAATCAACATCGAAATACCCAGGTGTACGGGTGTCGGACTTCACGTCTTCTTGGCGGGATGGCATGGCATTCAACGCAATTATACACAGAAATAGGTAATAATAATTTTCTTGTAGTTAAAAATTTGTAATATGTTGTCATAATTAATATTAATTTTAATCTTACTTAGACCGGATTTAGTCGATTGGCGCAATGTCAAAAGTAAAAATGTTCGTGAGCGATTGGAGTCTGCATTTTACATCGCAGAACGAGAATATGGAGTCACCAGATTATTGGATCCCGAAGGTGAGTGTGCATTACGACATAATATTTACATTGATTTTGAAAATATATTATTGTTATATTTATTTTATAGACGTCGACACCCACGAAATTGATGAAAAATCAATTATTACGTATATATCATCGTTACACGAGGTGTTCCCGGAGCCCCCTCGTTTACATCCTCTTTATGATTCTGTAAGTAAAAATTAAATAGTTTTATTTTCAAAATATCATTTATTTTCATTTTTATATTTTTGTAGGAATCTCAACAACGTTCTGGGGAATACCGTGAAATTGCTTCATCATTGAATCGTTGGATGCGTGAAAAGTTATCTGTAATGTCTGACCGTAATTTCCCATCAACACTTATTGAAATGAAAAAATTAGCATCCGATTCTACTAAGTTTCGTAATGAAGAACTTCCACCTCGCCATCGTGACAAACAACACCTGGTCCATTTATACAAGGAACTTCAAGTAATAAAATATAATATATATGACATGTGTTTTGTTAGTAGAAACATTCATAGAATTTTTTTATTTATAGAAATATTTTGAGGCTGTTGGTGAAAATGATATTGAACCCGAATTACAAGCTGATGCTATTGACCGTACCTGGAATCGTTTGATGATGTCATACCAAGATCGAGATTCTGCTATTCAGGAAGAAATAAAACGTCTCGAACGCTTACAAAGATTAGCGGAAAAAGTTCATCGTGAAACCAAACGCACCGACTTGAAGTTGGATGAGTTGGAAACTAGAATTGTGGAAGAAGGTCGTCGAGCAGATAGACTTCATCCATTGGACGCAAAACACAACGCTGATCAACTGGAGACCGAGTTGCGTTTATCTGAAGATACTATTCAGTCATTGTTTGTTGATGTACAAGCACTCAGAGAAGGACGATACGTGCAAGCACCTGAGTTACAAAAGAGGTAACTAATATAAATTAGATTTTATTCATTGCATTATTATATTTTATTTGTTATATTTAGGGTGGAAAAACTGCATCAGAGATGGGTAAATTTGCGGTCTTTGTTGCATTCAAAAGTTCTTACTCCTTTGGCTACTCTATCATTTCCAATTGTCGAAGAGCGTACAGTTACCAAACAAACACGAACCATTCTGGAAACCCGACTTGTTGATACCAATACTCATTTCCGTTCATTGCAAGAATGCATTGATTGGTGCAATAACAAATTGGTATTACATTTGAAAATTTGTTTTTTTTTTATTTGTTTACTAATTCTATGTTGTTTATATGTGTTTGTAGAAACAATTACAGGAAGCTGAATATGGTTCAGACTTGCCTAGTGTCCAAGGGCTTTTGGACCAACACCAGCGTGAACATAAAATAATTGACCAATTCCATACTAAAGTTGAGCATTGCATAAACGCTAAGAGTAATTTCCATGGAGACGAGCTATCCCTGTATTCACAGCACTTGAATACATTGCAGAAGGTTTATGCTGAATTAGTTACTTTCTCTAATAAACGACTATCTGACCTAGAAACATTGCAAGACTTCTTGCAATCGGCTACAAATCAGCTTATTTGGCTGAACGAGAAGGAAGAAATTGAATTAAATCGTGATTGGAGTGATAAAGATTTAAACATACCATCAATTCGACAATACTATGAGGTAATGTTTACTATTTAGTATTTATTATAATATATTATAGGTTTAATTAAATTTTTTAATATGTTAACTAATTTTTAAAGCATACATTTGGATCAGGGATTGAGGTTGTGATTTGATTAAATTTATATTCCCTTATTATCCTATGTAATATAGAAATTTATTTTATTTATTTTTCCAGTCTTTAATGTCAGAACTTGAGAAAAGAGAGATTCAATTAAGTTCAGTCCAAGATCGCGGAGAAGCTTTAATTCTCCAGGGTCATCTTGCATCAAAGTGTATTGAAGCTTATATATCAGCATTACAAACACAATGGACTTGGTTACTCCAGTTAACTCTTTGTTTAGAAACACATCTAAAGCATGCCACTTACTATCATCAGTTCTATGCTGATGTCAAAGAAGCTGAACATTGGTTAAACAAACGAGACGAGTTACTAAATTCTGTTTTTAGCCAATCAGAATTTAGTTTAGATGATGGAGAACGTTTGTTAAAAGGTATGCAAGATCTCCGAGAAGAATTAAATAACTTCAGTGAAGTGATCGGTACACTTGAAGATCGATCAAGGCAAGTAGTTCCACTGAAACAACGTAGACTTCCAATTACTAGACCTATACCAGTTAATGCGATTTGCAGTTTCAAACAAAATGGGGTATGTTAAAAAAATCATGATATGGTGAAACAATTAATGTTTAACACAATTTTTTCTTTTAGATTAATGTTGAAAAAGGTTCTCAGTGGTTGCTTCATGATAATTCAGGACGAATCAAATGGAGAGTATCCAGAGGAATGAATCTAACTGATGATTCAAATGTTCCTGGTGTTGTATTTTTAATACCTCCTCCCGATCAAGAAGCTTTAGATTCTGTAGATCGTTTACGCAGAGCATATGATCGTACGACAGCATTATGGCAACGTAAGCAATTGCGTATGCGTCAAAATATGATATTTGCTACTATCAAAGTGGTCAAGGGATGGGATTTGGCTCAAGTAATAAACATAATTTTATTTTTATTTTTCAAATTGGTTTAACTTTATTTTGTTTATTTTTTTAAAACATAGTTTTTGGCCATGGGTGCTGATCAACGTAATGCTATTCGTAAGGCATTAAATGAAGATGCTAATAAATTGTTGAGAGAAGGTGATCCAGCTGACCCTCAATTAAGAAGACTCAAGAGAGAAATGGACGAAGTTAACAGGTTATTTGATGAATTTGAACGACGATCACAAGCTGAAGAAGACAGTAAAAACCTCACACGAATGTTTACCGATCAAGTTAAATCTATTCAAATTTCATTGGATGAATATGAACACACATTAAATACCAGGTTGAGTGCCCCTATACCAAGAGATATGGACACCTTAGAACACTTGGTTATTCAACACAAAGACTTTGAAACGTCACTAAAGGTATTTTATTGACTATCTGTTGGATTATGTAATAGAATCATAATATTTAATAATAATAAATTTATTTGTTGTACAGAACTTGGGTCCTGATGTAGAAGCCATGCAAGCTACATTCAAAAACATACCAAATAAAACAGCAGCCTTACAAGCTAAACATGATAAGGTTTTGAACCAATGGAATCAGTTATGGAATCTCTCTCAGCTTTATGTTGAAAGACTCAAGTGCGCAGAAATTACTTTGTCTGGATTAGATGATGCAAATAATGTTATATCAGATTTTGAAATAAAATTAGCATCTTATGGTGAAATGCCATCTGAATTACCGGCTTTAAAATTAGTAAGTCTTTCATTGATATTACATTTTTACTTAACAGTGTTATATTTATGTGTATGATTGTATAAAGGTGCACCAAGATCTGATAGCATTGCAAAAAAATGTCGTCCTTCAGCAGCCTGTCATTGATCAGTTGGTTGAAGATAAACATAATACCAGGCGTTTAACAGAAAAATCCAGACACCACTTACCACGTACTGCTCATCATGATTTGGATAGACTCGACAGTGATGTAAATCGTATTACAAGTAGATGGAACAATGTTTGTAGTCAATTAGTCGACAGGTAAAATAATAAATTATTAAAAACAATTAATTAACTTAATGAAAAAGTAATTAATTATTCATCTTTTGGCCAATGTAAATTACCATTTATCATATCAAAGATTTTTTGTCAACTTTAATCTTACAATAATATTGTGCGTATCTTTGTTCCTACAGGCTGAAGAGCTGTGAAGCAGCTTACGATCTTTTGAATAAATACAAAAATTCGTACCAGTCTGAAGTTAAAATCATTGATGAGAGTTACGTTAAATTGAATAATGTTGCTCCTCTTAAAATGCAAGCAAGAGATCTTACAGAAACTACCAAGGTAAGTGTATACAAAGATATAAAACTGCCATAATTCATTAAACTGTATAATATATGTTATGGTGAGTCATGCACTTTATATTACTTAAACTCAACCTTTGTTTTGCATGTTAAATAAACAATACATAATAATTTAATATACTGTATAATATTAAAAATTAATATAACATAAGTGTGTACTGTATTACATTATCTAAGTAAAGCCTCACGGCCCGAACAAAGGTTTTTTATTTATTGATCAAATACATCTCGTAGGCTTTGTATAACAAGGTGCAGGAACGTACTAAAGCAATTGAGAGCGTCAATGTGGATGGTGGCAGATTTATACGAGAAGCTAAGGTAACGACGCTTTTTAACATAAAATAAAAATCGAAAATTTGCCGTGATAACAATTTAACAGACCATAACAAAGACTATGCGTATAATTAACCCGCAAATAGATATATGACCTACGACTTCAACATTACTGTGCGTGGCTGGTAGATGAAGTTCATCCAAGCCTTGATGCCAGCAATCATAATAAAGGCCAAAATATGGATCCCAGTGTTGGTGAACTGGCTGTGTCTCATGAACTTGATGTGCTCAACCATAGATTTCAAGCATTGCTTAACATGTTGATTGACCAGTTGAAAAATCTAGCATCAGTCAATACTGATGATCTTGAGCTACAGGTTAGTAAAATTATTTTTAAAACGTTAAGTATGTAGGATAAATAATAAATATTTATTAAATCTTATTAATTGAGTTCTATAATTTGTAGTTTTTATATATTTGGTTTTTTTTTTATTCGTCCAATTATATATCAATTATTTTTTATATTTTTGATTTTAAATAATATCCAAGTTCAATTAAGTTAGCGCTAAGGAAACTACTTAATGCTCCTCCTTATGTCCCCAACCTTTCCATTCAGCAAGATCTCAGGATGAACTCCGTCAAAGATGAAGCAAAACTCTACTATAAGCGGTTTCACAGTAGGTTACTGAATCATCCTAATCCTCTTATAAAAAATCTAGCAGTCGCTTCGATCCCGGGTAACCCCTTCAGACGTCTCAAACGTAATTGGTGTCGTGACCTGCTAAATGCTTGATTCCTAGATCAAATTTCTCCTTATAAACTAAACAAAATAGGTAGTGTCATCAATGGGTGGCTTCTTCCGTCATATTACTCATGTGTTTTTTTACTCTTATCTAATTTGCTTATTATTCTATGAATAGATTGTAAATATCTAGTAAAAAATAAAAAAAAATAAAAGTTCAATTAAAATTATAGATAACAATTGATTTGAAATTAAAATAGAAGTTAAGGTTTCCTATACATATTTTTTTTACTGTATTATTATTAAATATATTTATTTTCAACTTATGAAAAATAACACATTTAAATTGAATTCAATGGTAATTAAATTGTGTAAAATAAATTCTATGAAATAAAACAGTTTATGAATTCAATATATTTATGAGCCCTTATTTTAAACTTAATTTAAATTAAAAAATGCATTATCCTTTTTTTTTTTATTTTCTTATTGAAATCCAACGATAGCTTGACAATTGTTGAAGTATACATTAAACAAATCACACAGTTGCATTACAATATTGAATAAGGAAACTAGCCTATGTATGATCTTCAACAGCATATATTATCTAATAACCATAATTAATGTCAAAAGAAATTATTTTTTTAATTCCAAACAATCCAACTACTTACAGTATTTTATTAAATTTTTTTTTCACATTTCACATGCAACTGTAAACAATCATAATTTTACTTTTATTAAATGGTGTATAATGCATTCATCCAATTTGATGATAACAATTGAAATAAAGATTTTATAGATGTAAATAACAAAATTATTACATCCAATCATTACTATTGTTGAGACATATATATTATGAAGTTTGGCTTCTCGCTTAACACTTGTAGTGTAATATAAATATATAAATGACAGGTTAGTTCACCATGATATTTAAAAAAAATATTAACATTTAGAAATTTCAAAATAATACTACCTTGTTTTTATTTAGGTTACTTAAAATTTTTATTAATACATTGTGGTAATTATATACTCTTGTGTATGAAAACAAGTATTTTGTTAAGCATTGTTGATTACGCCTACATAGTAACACACCTCTTGTCAATTATTTTGCACTTTTAGTTTTTACTACAAATAATTAAAAAAGGTAGAGTATTGTTCCCTTGAAGTTATTAAGCAACATATTATTACTGTAAAATACCCAAGGTTTGGCTTTAGCCTATCAATTTATCTATTAGAAATGATTAGTCTAAATAAATGTTGCAGGAATATGTGAAGACGTTAGAGGCTAGGCCGTTGCGCACATTCAGAACTGAGTTCAATATATATGATACCATTCCTGAGTTAGTACTTGATACTTTATAGTGTTAGTGTGTTTTCATAGTTGTATGATTAAAGTTGTGTTCTGTTTTTTCTTTAAATTCTAGTGTATCGACAAATGGTATAGACGAAACAATAACAGCAAAAAATTTAGATCATCAGTTATCTGCAATGGGTAATCAGCATTCTACACAAACTGTTGAATCTAATGGTGATGCAGATATTCGTTCATTACGTCGACGTATGGAAGAAGCAACCGGACTTGATGATGACATTATTAATGCTCCGGGTATTGTTCATCCCAAGACTGGCGAAATTTTAACAGTAGGCGAAGCAATTCGTTTACGAGTATTAGATGTACGAACTGGTCGTATTGCCACACAACCAGATTCAAAATCTGGCTGGGTAACTATTGAGCAAGCTGTCGAGAAAGGACTGGTGGACAACAGTTTAGCAAACAAACTTTTGGGTCCTTGTGTTGTTGGTGATAACGGACCACAAATGACTTTGCTGGAAGCTATTCAAAAGGAGTTAATGGATGCTGAACGAGGACCAGTTGAAAGAATAAAGGTAAAAAATGAAGAACATATTGCTGATTTTATTGAAACTCTCAATTCGAGTGAGGTTAGGGGTGAGGTATTCCAAGTGTTAAATAAAAAAGTCACATTAAATGAAAAAGAAATTACTGTACTCGATGCTGTTCATCAAGGAAACTTAGATAAAATTAATTTGGCTGAAGATGAATTACAACTTTTATCAAAACTAAATGGTCTCAAACCAAAAAGTGCATTGAAAGTTGTATTGACCAAAACATTAGACGCCTTAAAAATTAAAGAAGATCCTAGGACTGATTTGCCAACAGAAGGTTGGAGTTTATTTGAAGCAATCAAACAAAATTTATTTGATCCTGAATCTGGTGTTTTTATTATACCTGGTACTGACAGGTTAGTATCATTTAAAGAGTGCATTGATATGCGGATTATAAACCCAGATTCAGCTGTAGTAGTTGATCCGACTAAGCCAAAAACCTTATCATTAAAACAAGCACTGCGGAAAGATATTTTAGATACCACTGGCCACTATCAAGGTAGTACAATGAAAGAAGCTATAGAAGGTAACTTTATATATGATCCATCAGCTATTGAATATGTTTCTTCACCTGTTGAAACAGTCGAAGTAAAAGGTGCTAAACGTAAAGTTGAACGGTCTAATAGTTTGAGACCTCAGTTTTTTGTACAAGAATCAATAACCGAAGAAGAATTAGAAGATTGTATACACAATGAGAGTAGAAATGTGCCATCTTTACCTATATCACTTCTAGAATCAAGCACCTCGGGAATAACCTTGGTAACTTCAATGATGTAATTTTATGCCATGCATGGTGTATTGTGATTTAAAATTATATAAGTTGTTTGTTTTGTCAACAAATTTTTTTAATTAATTATTTTTTTAGAGTACGGCTTTTTTAAAATTTTTTTTTTTGATAGCTTTTGTGTTTGTGTTTTATTTTTCAGGACAACCAGATTATTTTTGAAAGCTATATTATATACCAGTTATTTTTTGCCTGTATAATATGCCTAACAAATTTTTTTTTTATGATATTATAACAAATGTATGTTGTTTTTTTTTTGTAAAGGCTTATTTTAACTGATTTACAAGTAAAAACAACAACAAATAAAAACTAAAATTAGTTTTTAGATGTAATCAGCTTTTAATTTGTATGCATTAAAAATAATATTCAATATGCTAAATTTAAAATTGCACTAATATTTTTTTTAAATTGAAACTGTTATGATTCTCATTGATGTTTTTATAACATTAATATATATGTATTTTATAGCAAGCCATGGCAGAAAAATACAAACTGTGTGATGACACACTGTCAGAATACTTAAACTGGATTGGAGAAATTGAAGACAGAATTGCAAATCAAGATATTGCTCAAGAAGGTTTAGATCAACTACGTAATCAAATAAACATTTTAAAAGTATGGATATTTTAAATTTTTGCATTATTTATTTAATATAATATTTATATATAAATATTTTTTAGCTGATTAAAGAAGAAATTGATTCACAATTACGTCCCATTACAACATGTTTGGATCAAGTGCGTCATATAATTGCTACAGGCAGTGAATACTTGTCTAGAGAAGAAATAAATAATGTTGAGAAGAAAGGCAAATCTCTGAAATCTCGGTATGACCATGCAAATGAACGTACTGATAAACTGCTACGTCGCTTGGTCTCTGCTAAAGATGAATTATCCAAGTTTAAATCTGAACTTACCACATTTACTACATGGATGGATAGAGCTCAGCGCACTCTTGATGAAAAAGAACGTGCATTAGCTAATATAAATAGACTTGCCGATACATCTTCAACTGAATCCACAAGGGAGTTTGTGTCTGATGTAATTTCACACCAAGCAGATCTCCGCTTTATCACAATGGCAGCTCAAAAGTTCATGGACGAGTCTAAAGAATATCTGACCTGTTTAAATGATTTCAGAACTGGTTTACCATCTAGACTTCATCATATTGAACCGGTATCATCACAAGACAGTGTGATTAAAAATACAGTTATCAATGTCACTAATAATTATAAAGATTTATTATCTCGAGCTAATGCCTTGTCTGATAAATTAAGTGGACTTAATTCTAAACAGAGAGAATATAAGGATGCCTTGAACGCCGTTAAGGCTTGGCTTCGAGATGCTGAACCTAGAGCTATTAAAATCATTAATGAACCAATTGGTGCTGATCCGAATGCTCTCGAAGATCAATTCAATCGAACAAAAACTTTGAACAATGAATTTCTGGGTCAAGCTAGGCTTATTGAAAATGTCAAACAAGCTGCAGATGGTCTAATTAGGTCCCTTGAAGGCCAAAGTGGTATCAAAGAAATTGAAACCATTCAAGGCCCAGTTAATGAATTGGAAGATAAGTACAGATCTTTATGTAATGGTTTAGCTGACCGGCTATCACAATTGGATACTGCATTAGTTCAATCACACGGTGTGCAAGATGCTTTAGATTCATTACTTCATTGGTTGAACGATGCTGAAGCAACATTAAAGTAAGTTTTTTCTTATAATTTTTATTTATAATTTAAGTGAATGCTACCCATGCAGTATTGAAACTCGTGAACACAAATTTGTTGTGCTGTACATTTGTAAGACAAGACAATATAGACATGAGTAGCGTCCTCTTAAATTATAACTTTTAATCCATGTTATCAATATTTAATTTCAATTAACAACCCATTTGTAAACATGCAGTTTTTTAGTTACCCATGACTTACAATTATAGTTAATAGTACCTTATTTCCTCATTTATATTACTTTTAATCAACATTTTTTTTTTAGTAACGATGATTGTTTTCGCAAAAAAAAAATGTTTAACTATCCAAGTTCTCTTATTAATGACTTACACTTATTGGCAAAATTATTCACATGTCTTAATGAAATAAAAATGTTTTTAGGAATATAACAAGACCAGTGAGCTTACATACAGATCGTCTGTCTGAACAAATCCGGGAGTACAGATTGTTGCAGTCAGATATTGATACACATAGAGCAAGTGTGGACAGTGTTGCACATTCTACACAAGAATTAATGATCAACTCAAGCAATCCTAGACTTGCCAAAAAAATTGAGGTCAAGTTGAAAGATGTTATGACTCGTTTTGAAAAGCTCTTGGATAGGACTGCTAAACGAGGTGAACTATTAAATGACATCAACCAAATTTTGTCATCATTTAATAGTCAAGCAGCAATGCTTGAACAATGGTTGGCAAATGCTTTAGACAATTTCAATGATATGCCTGAAAGCAAGTTGGATGATTTAATTGCTCAAAGAGACTCTCAACGACAAGCATTAGACCAAACAATACGTGACGGAAAAACTCTCATTAACAATAAGGATGTAACTGACACTCCTCCTGTACGTGATCGTGTTAAAGGATTAGAAAACCAATGGAAACAATTGAACCAACTATTAGAAGAAAAGCAGAGATTATCTAAAGCTAAAGTGGAACAACTTCAAGCATATGAAAAATTAAGAGATCAAGTATTAATATGGTTGAATAACACAGAGAAAAGAGTTAACCAATTAGAAAGTGTAGCGGTAGATATGAATATTATTAAAAATCAAATTGATGAACTAAAACCAATTTCTAAGGATCATCGTGATTACAGCATTACTATTGACAGACTTAACGACCTTGGGGCTACATTTTATGATTCTAGCCTCACCAATTCTATGAGAAGACGTAGTTCGGTATCTCCTACTAAACGATATTCGTTGGACTCATTAAGAAAAACGTCTAGGGATTCTCCAAGAAGTTCGGTTGTAAGTTTCACTTACAACAGAATTGAAGATGGTTTAGATGACAGCCCTGTGCAACAGGAATTGAACGAAATTAATAACAGATATAACTTATTAGGTGTGAAAATATCAGACAGACAAAATGAATTGGATACTATTAGAGATGATGTGAGGAAATTGGTTGAAAATATGAAAATATTAAATCAATTTTTAGATAGAACACAGAAATCATTACCAAAAGAGAGTATTCCTTTGACTAAAGAAGAATCTGATAAAGCAGCAAAACAAGTTAGAGCTGTACTTGAAGAAATGTATGAAAAACAATCTTTGTTAGATAGTACTAAATCTGGTGTAAATGATCTATTAAAAAAGAAACCAACTTCTTTAGGAGCTGATAGATTACACGATGACATTCAAAATGTTACAAGCCGTTGGAAAAACTTAAATGATATTTGTAAGAATCGCATTCAACTTCTTGAAGACTTGAAAGATTTCCATGACTCGCACGACAACCTTTCAAACTGGTTAGGATCCAAAGAGCGTATGCTAAATGTCTTAGGTCCAATATCATCAGATTCTAGAATAGTACAAAGTCAAGTTCAGCAAATTCAAGTGTTGAGAGAAGAGTTTAGAACTCAGCAACCTCAACTTACACATTTAACATCTGTCGGTGAAAGTATACTTAATAGACTACCAGATCCAAACTCTCCGGATGCTCAACGGTTTTCTAATAAATTATCAGCAATTTTACAAAAATGGTCAGATTTACTTGGCAAATTGGAAGATAGAGCATCTAATCTTGGCGCAGCAGCTGATTCTACCCGAGAATTTGATGCAGGTCTTGCTCGTTTGACTGAAGCATTACAAAATATTTCTGATCAATTAGATGATATTTCATATGATAAGGAACCAGAAGAGAGGCTTAGAAAAATACAGAACTTGGAAAGACAATTAGAAGGCCAACGACCTTTATTAGCCGATTTAGAAGATGCTGGCAATCATTTGTGTAATGTATTAGATGACCCGGCTTGTAAAGCAGATATTCAAGCAAAATTAGCTGCTATTAATCGTCAATATAACAACTTGCAAAAGAAATTGGACAATAAAAAAGCTGAAATTGAAGGGTCACTGAAGGACGGTAGACAATTTGAAGCTACCTGTGCTTTGACACTTGGTTGGCTTTCTGATCAATTGGGCAGTCTCACAGAACGTCTATTAATATCCGCTGACAAAGATATATTACAACAACAAGTTTCGCAGTATGAGCCTATATACAAAGAAGTATTACACAAAGAACATGAAGTAATTATGCTTTTGAATAAGGGTCGTGATATGCTATCCCGAACTGGACAACGTAATGAATCTCGTAATTTACAACGGGATTTGGACAAAATACAACAAAATTGGGACAAACTACGTAAAGAAGCTGTAGACCGCCATAACAGACTTCAAACATGCATGGAACACTGTAGAAAATATTATAGAGCCCAAGAGTCCTTTACACCATGGTTGGCTCAAGCCGAAAATAAATTAGAACTTATACGACCAAACAGCTTTAGTAAAAAAGATGTGGATAAACAATTGAGAGAATTGTCTGCTTTTAGAAATGAAGTTTGGAAACACTCTGGTGAGTTTGAGAATGTTAAAAACCTGGGAGAAACATTCCTTTCTTCTTGTGATGTCGATAAAGAACTTGTAAAACAAGAACTGTCAACCATCAAAACTAGATGGGATAGATTGAATAATGAATTAATGGAAAAAACACAATGGTTAGAAGACATTTCAAGAAAGTTGTCCGACTTTTCTGACAACCTTAGAGATTCTGAACACGCATTACAGCGTTGTGAAGATAAACTTAATTCTCATGATTCGGTTGGAGGTGCAGCTCGTGATCCAAAGCTGTTGGAAAGAATTAAAGCATTGCGAGAAGATGCTAAGAAATTGAGAAATCCATTAGTAGGTCTAAGGCAAACAGCTGGTGACTTGGCCTCAGAAGCTGTTCAAATGGGCGTTGGTGACTCATTAAAATTACAAGATGATGTTGATAATCTTATGGATAGATTAGACGATTTAGAAGGTAAACTGGACGATAGGTGTTCACAATTACTTTCAGCTTCGACTGCATTGGCACAATACGCAGATAAAGTCAAAGCTCTGGGTAAAAATTTGAATGACTTAGAAGCTGAATTTGACTCATTGAAACCACCGGGTCGAGATATTAAAACTGTTACTGGCCAATTAGATGAAGTAGACAAATTTATTAAGAAAATTGCAAGGGCTGGAGATGATGTTACTGTAATGCTTGAACTAGGCCAACGTTTGGAAGACTCTACTTCTATGCGTGATCAAGCTGAATCACTGACACGTTTATTAAACAAACTTGATGAACGAGCATCAAACAGACAAACTGATCTTGAAAATATTTTAGACAGACTACAAGCTTTTAAAAATAAGCACGATAATGTTGTTCAAGACATAGATCATGCAACTGATGAGTTTAAGAATTTGAAACCAATTGGATCTGAAGTGGAGGCAATTAAATTCCAACAACAAGAGTTTGGTTCTTTCAGAAAGAACACCATTGAGCCACTCATTTCGTCTGTCAATGAAGTTAATGGTGTAGGTCAAAGATTAATACAGTCTGCTGCCAGAGGTGTAAACACTGGTATTTTGGAAAAAGATTTGGAAAAAATGAATGATAAGTGGAATGCACTCAAAGAAAAATTAAATGAGAGGGACAGACGTCTAGACTATGGTCTTTTACAATCTGGCAAGTTCCAAGATGCTTTAGATGGATTTGCTAAGTGGTTAGCTGATACAGAAGAATTAGTATCTAATCAAAAACCACCATCAGCTGATTACAAGGTGGTAAAAGCACAATTACAAGAACAAAAGGTAAATAATTAGTTTTTTTTAAATTGTTCTTTGGTTAATTAATAATACATTAACTTAAATTAAAAAAATTTCAGTTCTTAAAGAAAATGTTAGCTGACCGTCAAAATTCGTTGTCATCAATATTTGATATGGGTAATGAAGTTGCAGCTAATGTCGATCCTAGGGAACGTAAGGAAATTGAAATACAGTTGAAAGAGTTATCTCAGCGTTTTGATAATTTGGACCGTGGTGCTACAAAACGCATGGATGATTTGCAAAAAGCTATGGTTGTGGCTAAAGAATTCTTAGAAAAAATAACACCTCTCTTGGAGTGGTTGGATAAAAGCGAGAAAAAAATCAAGGACATGGAACTAGTTCCTACAGATGAAGAAAAAATACAACAGAGGATTAAAGAACATAGTGTAAGTAAAATATTAAAAATTAATTTTATTATTATTCCTATTTTAAATGAAAATTCAGTATTGTATATTATATATTTATATTATGTATTTTATACACAATTTGTTGGTTTAAAGTACCTATGTTGTGTATGATCTGTTGTTTTTTATATCAAGTAATTAATTAATATGTATATGTTATTAAGATATTGTAACTTAAGTAATAATGATAACTTTATTTTTTTTATTTTAAATTAATGTTTTTTTTTTTTTACCATTTTCTCGCTTCAACCTATTCATATTGATATTTTGTTTTAGAAATTACACAATGAAATTCTATCCAAAAATCCTGAGTTCCATGATCTTACTGAAGTAGCTAGTACATTAATGGCTTTGGTTGGTGAAGATGAGGCATCTGGCGTAGCGGATCGTATCCAAGAAACAGCTGATCGTTATGCTACACTTGTAAATACCTCAGATAAAGTGGGACTATTGTTACAAGACTCACGTGCTGGTTTAAGACATCTGGTATTAACTTATCAAGATTTGCAAGCATGGATGGAAGGCATGGAAAAACGTTTAGGCAAATACAAAGTATTACCCGTGCATACAGACAAACTAGTGGAACAAATGGAGGATATTGCAGATCTGTGTGAAGAAATATCGAACCACCAATCAGATGTTGACGGAACCGTGGATGCAGGCATGGAGCTTATGAAACACATAACCAGTGATGAAGCCATTCAATTAAAAGATAAGTTGGACGTATTGCAGAGACGTTTTAATGATTTGGTCTCTACTGGTACTGATTTATTAAAGAATGCCGAAAGCATGTTGCCACTTGTACAGCAATTCCATAATGCTCATAAACGCTTGGGTGATTGGATGTTATCAGCTGAATCACAATTACAAACCGCAGAACCCAAAGAAGAAGACATACATAATTTAGAACTTGACATCCAAGGTATATAGAAATGCTGCAGTATATAATAGTTTTTTTTTTTAAAACAATATTAAATGAATTTCAATATTAATAAACTTTTTTATTTTCAGAATTTCGTCCAGTTTTAGAAAACATTAATCAAATAGGACCACAATTGTGTCAAATGTCTCCTGGTGAAGGTGCTTCGACAATTGAAGGTCTTGTTACTAGAGATAATCGAAGATTTGATGCTATTGCTGAGCAAATTCAAAGAAAAGCTGAACGGATTCATTTGTCTAAACAACGGTCACTTGAAGTCATTGGTGATATGGATGACCTATTAGATTGGTTCCGTGAAGTAGATAACCAATTAAGAGACGCAGAACCTCCAAGTAGCGAAGTGGATATTATTCGTGTACAACTTAAAGAACATAAGGCACTCAACGATGACATATCGAGTCAAAAAGGACGTGGTAGAGATGTATTATCTATGGCTAAGAAAGTTTTACGAGAAGTTACTCAAAGCAATGACACAAGTCTCATGCGAGAGAAAATGGAAGACCTTCGTGAAGTTATGGAACATGTATCATCATTAAGTGCTGAACGCTTGAGTATTCTTGAACAAGCTCTACCTCTTGCTCAACATTTCCAAGAATCACACTTTGATTTATCTGGTTGGTTAGATGATATGGAGAGACAAGTATCAATGTTAGCTATGCCTGCTTTGAGACCAGAACTTATTGCCCAGCAACAAGATAAAAATGAAATGTTTGTACAGTCTATTGCCGAACATAAACCACTTGTGGATAAACTTAATAAGACTGGTGAAGCTTTAATCAGACTATGTAACGAAGACGAGGGAGTAAAAATCCAATACATTATGGATAGTGACAATTCTAGGTATGCAGCGCTAAGATCTGAACTTAGGCAAAGGCAACAAGCTCTAGAAAAAGCATTACAAGAAACCAGTCAATTTAGTGATAAATTGGAAGGCATGTTAAGAGCATTACAAAATACTGCCGAACAAGTATCTGGTGCTGAACCTATATCTGCCCATCCTCCCAAAATTCGTGACCAACAAGACGAAAACGATGCCGTTGTTGAAGATTTACATAAACGTGCTGATGCATTCCAAGCAGTGAAAAGAGCAGCCAATGATGTCATTAATAAGGCTCCGAATTCCTCAGATCCCGCAGTCAAAGACATAAAACGTAAATTAGATCGATTGAACAGTTTGTGGAATGAAGTTCAAGAGGCGACTAATGATCGTGGGCGCAGTCTCGAAGAAGCCCTCATACTGGCTGAGAGGTTCTGGGAAGAGTTACAGAATGTGATGGATACACTAAAAAATTTGCAAGATTCATTACACTCGCAAGATGCACCAGCTGTAGAACCAGCCATATTGAAACAACAAAAAGCTGCTTTAAGAGAAATTAAAGCAGAAATTGATCAGACCAAACCTGAAGTAGACCAGTGCCGTGCAAGTGGTAAACAATTAATGAAAGTTTGTGGGGATCCTGATAAGCCCGAAGTTAAGAAACATATTGAAGACTTGGATAATGCTTGGGAAACTGTAACTGCATTGTTTGCTAAACGTGAAGAAAATTTGATACAAGCTATGGAAAAAGCTATGGAATTCCATGAAACCTTACAAGTATAAATAATTAACACTATGTTTAATGTGAATTGTATTTAATATAAATTATTTTTAGGATTTGCTCAAATTTTTGGATGGTGCAGAACGCAGATTTGCCAATTTAGGTCCATTGGGAACAGATATCAAAGTTGTTAAGAATCAAATTGGTGAACTTAAGAACTTTAAATCTGATATTGATCCTCAAATGGTTAAAGTAGAAGCTTTGAACAGGTAATTATGGTCATACAATATTAATAAATAGTGATAATCATTCTCAGTACTTGGTTGTTTAGTATTTATTGTGTCTATTTATTATTGACTTAGAATTATTACTTTTGTATGTTTTTCTACTGCTTACAATGGATTTTATTATTTTATAGGAGTGTTACAAGGTAAAAGTTATTAATTAATTTGAATAAAAGTACATCAATGTTAGTTTAAAATAATATATCGCATACTAAAATATATATTTTTTTTTTTTTGTATATAATAGGCAAGCCCAAGAACTTACAGAAAGAACTACAGTTGAACAGGCAGCTGCTCTCAAACAACCATTAACTGAAGTTAACCGTAGATGGGAAAATCTATTGAAGGGTGTTGTAGAACGGCAGCGACAATTAGAAAACAGTCTTCTACAATTAGGTCAATTCCACCATGCATTGGCAGAACTTCTTGCTTGGATTGATGGTACTAATAAAACATTAGACAAGGATTTGAAACCAGTCGCTGGTGATTCTCAGTTATTAGAAGTTGAACTTGCTAAGCTCAAAGTATTGGTTAATGACATTCATGCCCATCAGTCGAGTGTTGACACTTTGAATGATGCTGGTCGTCAGTTGATTGAAAATGGAAAAGGATCAGCTGAAGCTAACTCCACTCAAGATAAACTTAATGTTCTGAACAAAAGCTGGAGAGACTTACTACAGAAGGCGGCTGATCGGCAATTAGAATTGGAAGATGCGCTGCAAGAAGCCCAAAGGTTTGCAGTAGAAATACAAGATCTGCTATCATGGCTTGGGGAAGTTGATGGTATAATAGCAACATCAAAACCAGTTGGTGGCTTACCTGAAACAGCTAGTGAACAACTGGAACGTTTCATGGAGGTATATGACGAACTAGAATCTAATAGACCTAAAGTGGAAACAGTTTTGGCTCAAGGACAAGAATATTTGAAAAAATCACCAAATTCTGGAAATCTGCAGCAAAATTTGAAGACTCTAAAACAACGATGGGATAGTGTGACTGCCAGAGCTAATGATAAAAAAATCAAATTAGAAATTGCACTGAAGGAAGCTACTGAATTCCATAATGCTTTACAAGTATGTTTGATAAATATATATTTTTAAAAATATACAGGTTATATAGTTTTGTAATTATTTTTTATATTATAATTATTAGGCGTTTGTTGATTGGCTTACTGATGCTGAGAAAACATTATCTAATTTGAAACCAGTTTCTCGTATTCTGGCCACAATTTTGACACAGATTGAAGACCATAAAACTTTCCAAAAAGATGTAAGCTCTCATCGGGAGATAATGCTTCATTTGGACAAGAAAGGAACTCATCTGAAATACTTTTCACAGAAACAAGATGTCATACTCATCAAAAATTTATTAATCAGGTAAAACGGTATTATTTAATACTAATGTTAATCATTCTAATAATTTTTTTTAAATAATTGTTTGTATTTTTAGTGTACAACACCGTTTTGAACGTGTTGTGTCAAAAAGTGCTGAAAGAACTCGTGCACTTGATCATGGTTATAAAGAAGCTCGCGAGTTCAACGAAGCATGGTCAAGCCTTATGGATTGGTTGGCCACTGCTGAGAAGAACCTGGATGAGTTAACCCAAGATGCCAGTGTTGGTAATGATCCAGAGCGCATTAAGCAACGTTTGGCCAAACACAGAGATGTACAACGAGCTTTAAGTGGAAAGCAAGCAACTTATGACTCTACTATGAGAATGGGCAAAGCGTTGAAAGAAAAAGCTCCTAAGAGTGATGAACAGCCCTTAAACAAAATGATCAATGAATTAAAAGAAAAGTGGAATTTGGTATGCACTAAATCTGTAGATAGACAGAGAAAGTTGGAAGAAGCTTTGTTGTATTGTGGACAGTTCAAAGATGCTATGGAAGCTCTTTTGGAATGGTTACGTAAAACTGAGAAAAGACTGACAGATGATGGGCCAGTCCATGGAGATTTGGATACAGTAATGGCTTTAGTTGAACAACATAAAGTAAATAATTTAATTAAGTGCTATAGATAACATTGCGTCTAGTTAAGTGTATGTTACTTATGTTAATATTTTTCATTAGACATTTGAAGATACATTATCTAAGCGTTACGAACAAATGAAAACTGTACGACAGACTGGTAAAGATCTAATGTCCAAGGCCAATAATGCTGATCGTGCTGTGATTCAAAATCAATTGGACGATTTAGAAGGCCTATGGAATCGCACCAGCCAACTGTGCGAAAAACGAACGGAACGACTTGAAGATGCTTTAAGACAAGTAATAAAAATACATATTGGAAATAATAAATTAAATATATGTAATGATGAAAAAGTTATGAATTGATAATTAATTTAAATTGTTTTATATAATTTCTTTAGGCTGAACAGTTACATAAATCTGTTCATTTACTGTTAGAATGGTTATCTGACGCAGAGATGAAATTAAGGTTCATTGGACCATTACCAGATAATGAACAAGAAACAAGAAACCAGTTGAATGAGCATAGGAAATTCATTGAAGAAATGTCTGATAAAGAACATGAAAAAGATTCTACTGTTACTCTTGCACAAAGAATTTTAGAAAAGGCACATCCAGATGCAGTTGGGGTAATCAAGCACTGGATAACCATAATTCAGTCTAGATGGGAAGAAGTATGGACTTGGGCTAAACAGGTAAAATAACATCTTTATCAAAACCATTCTATCTAATAACTATTTGTACAGTTGTTAATTAATATTTTGTATTTGCAGCGTGAGCAAAGGCTAGTCGAACACTTACAGTCTCTTCAGGACTTGGACTCATTGCTAGAAGAATTATTCTCCTGGTTGACAAGATTAGAAAACAGATTGTTGGATCTTGAATCTGAACCTCTACCCGACAGTGTAGAAGTGGTTGAAAAACTGATTGAAGAACATCGTGAATTCATGGAAAGTACCTCTAAAAGACAAACTGAAGTTGACACTGTGTGCAAAGTTAAACAACCTGCTGCTCCTGTGGGAAGAAAACCATCAGCTAAGAAAATTTCTGCTATCAGGTTGCTATATCATAATTTAATAATGTACATTTTTAGTATAGTTAATAATTATGGAATTATTTTAATTAAAAAAAACCAAAAACCAACCATATTTAAACCTTATTTATGGTTTATTTTCAGTTGCATGATTGTATACTTAGAGCTTATTGTGTTATAGATAAATTTTCATTTTATGTTTGCTTTGTATAAATATTGACACAATATTGCACGCTTAATATTTATAAGATTTGCACTTTTGCACATTTTCAGTCGAGAGGACTTGGCTGGCAGTTCACATGATCTAAGTGATCAACGCAGACAAAGGTTGGTATAAAATTCACAATGCACATACATATTTTTGTAATTTTATTGATACTTATAGTGGGTTGTTAAATGTTGAAGTTACTATATTTTTGAAAGTGATTGGGTTAATTATATTACTGCATGTTTTACTACTGTTAGGTATTCAATTTAAAAATCTTCTGTGAGTAGAAAAATAAAACTTTAAAATACAATTTTATCTCATCATGACAACTATTGGAAAATATAAATATCTCATATTAGTAAAGAAAGAAGACCAATATCAACCTACCAAAAAACTACTTAAAGGAAAAACGTGATTCTATTAACTCTCACTGGCATCTATTAAGATCACTATTTTACCGTAAAAACAAACATAAGAAATAAATTAATACTTTACAAGTCCTTACTATGTATGGACGTATTAGGCTGTTAATACATCTTATTTTCAATTTATCTGTGTCAATTATTTGTATAGATTTAACAGATTTTTCATTTATTTATTTTTTTAATATCTAGAAATAAAGTAGAGTAAATTAAATATGCGATTGTATTTATATATTTTTTTATTATTATTTATATTAATTAATGATTTTTTTTTGTGTTTTTCTTGTATGTTAAATATAGTTTTACTTTTATCATTATCAATTTTCTCTTATAGTCATATACTTAATTGTTTAGTATTTAATTATTAATATTTAATTTTTTCCATCACTAGTTACAACCATTATTATACTTCATGGAATCATTTTTTTTTCTACATTTTTGGAAATATTATATTTAGCTTAATTAACTTTAGTAACCAGTTGACATTTGTTAGTGTACATATTTTATATTATTTATTTGCATATTTCACAATGGTCAAAGTGTATATAAGTTTTTAGGACTATCCATTATAAATTGTAATTACATTCATTAAACTTACTTGTTTTTAAACATTTTCTATTGATTGCTGAACACATTGAGGTTATTAAAATACATTAAGGTTAAAATATTTTTTCATTAACATTTTTGGTATTGATAAATTTTTAATTTTGCTTTTAAAATTTGGGTTGGTTGATACAAATTAGGTCACATTAATAAAAAAAAGGTTATAATTGAACATTTTAAATCGCACATACATACTTCTATGCATTATATTTATTGTATGCATTTTATTTTATTGATGTGATTTTCCGGACATTACCAATTGCATCAATAATTAATATTTTGTTGTTTTATTTTTTGTATTTTTAGTCGGGGTAGTCAAATCATACGAGATAAGTCCATGGATCATTTGCCACATATTGGACCTAGATTCCCAGCTAAAGGAAGGTAAGCTAGAAAATTTCTAGACTTTTACATAATATATGTTATGTATTATATATGCATAATGTATAATGTATATATTATAATGTACCATCATATTGTATTCTTCTGTTCTGTACTCTTTGTAACATGTAGAAGCCTAGCTCAATGTTTGTGTCGTGTTTTTAGTGTAGATTGATTTTAATTTTGACTTAAACATAATTTTTTCGATTTTACTTTTTCTTGTAGCAAAGTGGAAGAGCCGTTGTTGCGCAATTCGCGTTGCCGACAGCTTTGGGACAAATGGCACACCGTGTGGCTGATGGCTTGGGAACGTCAGCGTCGTTTGCAGGAACATCTGAACTATTTGAGAGAAGTGGAGAAAGTAAGGAACTTCTCGTGGGATCTGTGGAGGAAACGGGTACGTAAATATTAAAATAAATAATAACAAAGAACCAGATGTGTGTCCCGTTATTGTGTTTTGATTGTGTTTGATTTCCGTTTAAAGTTCTTGAAGTTCATGAACCACAAGAAATCCCGACTTACAGACTTATTCAGGAAAATGGATAAGAACAATGATGGTCTCATACCGAGAGATGACTTCATCGACGGAATCATGAAAACTAGTGAGTTCAAAATCGATAGTATTATAATATAATATAATATGGACATATAGTATGCAGTTTAGATAATGTGTGTGGCTAAAAATTAAATGCTATGTTTTGATTGATCAATGAGTTGTGTATTTTGAGGAGAAAGCACGCGAGGCTGTGAATCTGGAGGGCGAGCTTATTATAATGTGATAATTAATTTTTTTTTAGCTATGTTATTTTATATATGTGTTATTTTTAAACAGAATTTGACACCAGTAAATTGGAAATGAACGCCGTGGCTGACATGTTTGATCACGATAAACTTGGTCTGATCGACTGGAAAGAATTTATAGCCGCGTTGCGACCCGACTGGGAAGAAAAGAAACCAGACACCGAGTCCGAAAAGATACACGACGAGGTTAAGAGGCTGGTAATGCTGTGTACTTGCCGGCAGAAGTTCAGGGTGTTCCAAGTTGGAGAAGGAAAATACCGGGTACGTGTTGTATAATATAAGTTTTGGGGGAGTTTGGGGTTTACCGCGTCATTATTACTATTATTGTTCAATTATAATAATTGTCGGATTTGCGATGATTGACGTTTTTCGTTTTGATTTTCCATGTATAGTTCGGTGATAGTCAGAAACTACGACTTGTCCGCATATTGAGGTCGACCGTCATGGTACGTGTAGGTGGCGGTTGGGTCGCTCTCGACGAATTTTTGGTGAAGAACGATCCTTGCAGAGGTAAGTAATTCGTTAACAGTATTATCGACAAACATTCTAAATACATATAAATAAATATATATATAATAGTAATTCGATTAATCTTTAACCGATGGTCGGGTAAATTTTGGATAAATAAATGATATATGTTATATGTATATTAATAATAACTAATTAATAAGTTAATTTTACTGTTATTTTAGTATCTCTTAACCGGTGCCTCGTTAGTACAAGGGTAAACATAATATACATACCATACACGTGGTTAACAAACTGAAAAGAATTTATTAAATAACATCAATATATAAATACATATTGTATTAATAATTATTAAAAACAAACTCTTGAGAAAGTAAAAGGAATTTAAACAAGTGTATATTTTATACACACTAACTCAAACGCATGTGTACATTATACATATATAATATACTATTATATATATTACTTCATTAACATTGAATATGATTTTAGTTTCCAAAGTACGTAATTTTACATAATACTATGACACTGTTGTTTCTCATATTTTATTTGTTCAATTTTGATTTTGTCCTTATCCACCGTTTCCTCTACTTACGATTTTGATTTTGTTTTATTTTTTGTTTTTCATTATTATTCTTTCTTTCCGTTTTGATTTTGATTTCTTTTTTTGGTTGAGTCTAGTCGAAATGTTGCCGATGCCCAACCCATTCGTGCCTGAAGAACACGAACCGTGGTGTCCTTACAGCCTAGTCCAATTGAATTGTATGATTGCTACTATGTCATTACATATTTTTGAACCCTTTTTTTTCGATGCACGTGGTTATTTTTTATGGTTTTTCTTATTTTTGCATTTTTGCGTTTTGTTGTTTCGTATTTCTCGACGGTACACTGCGCTGCGTACCGTAAGCCTTCTTCAACTACCAAAAAGGTATATTATTATTACATAGTTGATGTCAGACAGTGTTGTATGTTATTTGAAAACTTAGTCAAGCACTTACGTAATGCATTTAGATTACGTTTTTCGTAGAAATTGCAGGTATAGCATCGATTTACATAGTTTGCTACTCTAAATAAAACGTGTTATACTTGCAATATAGTTTTTGTGTCGCGCATGCGTATCGCACGTATGCATATGTGACAAGTTTGCAGCCGCCTCCTATAAGTCCTGAAATCCTTGCACTCGCGTACTCATAAGCGAAACTATTTAGGTTTTATAAATTTGGTACCTACCTGTACTCTTTAATATGTACGAGTATGTATAGACATTTCTGTCGGTGTGATCAAAATACAGATTTCACAACTTATGAAATATATATAGAATGATATTGCTAAATCCAAAAAAAAAAATGTATATATTAGTTATGTTGATATTATAATACATCAATACGCATAAACAAATATATAACGGACCAAAATCCGATAGTTTCGCCTATGCACGTATCCTGCAGTCTAAAATTTAAGGTATACCGCTCACAAGCATGCTAGCAGTTTATATTATTAATACATATTACGTATAATTTAATATTATACGCGCTGAATGTCTAACCTGGCGTGAGGACACTAATCCGGTTTGGCTTCATTATCTACATAATATAATATATATTATGTAGTATAAATATATATATTATATATTTAATTTATATTATACTTTAGTTGTACTAATAATGTTTTTTTGGATTTTTTCAATTTATATATTTGATTAAATTTGATTAAATTATTATTTTAACACATTAACGTTGTTTTTTTTGTTTATTTTTTGTTTCACTATTTTAATACTGTGATGCGTTTGTTTATTTTGTTTTTGTTTTTGTTTTGTTTTTTTTTTTTTTTAACAATTTTATCCTTCTCATCACACCTTTTCATTTCCTTTACGCACTCACAGCCAAAGGACGCACAAACATCGAACTCCGCGAGCAGTTCATATTGGCCGATGGCGTGTCACAGAGCATGTCTGCATTCAAACCAAAACACAACGCGCAACAACAACAGCGGTCTGGTTCTACTGCCGGTCCGATCACCAAGGTAAAATGACTAATATATCCGTCAAATAACTTACGTATATATTGTTATATATATACTATTTTGTTATTTTATATCCAAGTAAGAAAGCACGGACTGTATTTAAATATTTATTTTTATAAACACAGTTTTTTGGCCGTACATCGTTGCATCGTGCAGTAATTATAATGTGTGCAGTGAAATATTGGCTTTTTTACTTATATTTTTGCTCGCTACTGCTATTTTTTTTTTAGTTTTCTGAGTGCGTGGTAGTTAGTCATATATAAGCGTGACTTAGATACTTACGTATTATCTGAATTACCTGGATCGATCGACAATTGACCGTTTATACGTTCATACGTATAGGTACCATTAATTGGACTACTATTTTGCAAATTGTTGTGTATTGATTTACCAATAAAATATTAAGGTGTATTTTTATTATATTTTAATATATTCAATTTCTACATTATTTCATTCATCACTATTATCTGGAAACATTTAAATATCACAAAGTAAATACATCATGTGGGTAATAATCATAAATAAATTAAATTAAAATTAAATTAAATTAATTTAAATGATTTTGCTGTCGCATAAATTCTGCCAAATATTATACAAGATGTTGTCATATGTAATTTGTAGACTTAGTTGCGCCGCTTCACTAAACTTCATAATCTTTCTACATTTAGTGTGCCAAGTTCAACTACCTCATTCTTATACTAATTTTCATCAACCCTACCAGTGAGATAATTCAGGAAACTATATTATCACAAGTTATTGAATAAGTTTTAGTCTGAAATTTCGAGACATTAAGAAATCAAGTCCTAACTTACCTGTTCAATAGACCATAGAATTATTATCTTCTTGTAGAAGCAAGCAATCAGCTAGATGGCTAGATAATTAAAAAAGAAAAAAAAAATAATAATAATAAGTTGATATTATCAACAAAAATAGGCAACTAACAATAAGTTAGGGCATTAAAAAACTGCAAACAGAAAATGTTATAAATGACCATCTAGTGGAACTTCAGAAAAAACATATTAGAGATTATCAGACTTTACACCATACATTTAAGTATATAAACGAAACCATGGTCAATATTATATACTATTTTATAAGTAAATTAATATATACTTATTACAAAATAATAATTATGCAAAAAGTACATATGTATGTATATAAGTATAGAATTCCAGTAAATTATCGATAGAATCATGTACTACGGATAATACGTAAGTTCAGTGTATGTTATATTATTACACACACAGATATATGTATAATATATATATATACATATTATATGGCGTGAGCTCTACTTCTAAACTGTCGGCTTGTGGTTTGTATTGAGTGCATATTTTTTGTATACTACAAAATATATACTCATTGCGTGGTGTGGAAAAGAAACGAAAATCATATATACTATATAGTATTAATTATGAATAAGTTCTCAAGGGTTATTTTAATAAAAAAAAAAAAATGAAAATTTCGTTCCGCATATTGTGATCGTATATATGTCAAACGTTTCATAACAATATACAATTAATAATTAACACACGAGATGATACTCTTTGGCTACGTCGAGGCACTTCGGGGGAGAGCATGATGAGAATGTGTCGATGATTGATAGTAAATATATGTGTTTTAAAAAATTAAACAGCCGAAGAGTTTATGAGAGAGTTGATGCCAATATTCGAGAGTTTAAGACAACGAGAGTCCTTGCCGTGTTCGTATCCTCTTGCGATGGGCCCCAGCAGGCAAATCAACACGTTTTGGGTAAATTGTCGAAAAAAAATAAAAAACCGCATTCTAGCGATTTTTCAATTTTTTTTTTTTAATTTTTCAATGTTTATTTTGATGCTATTGAGCGGCGGTGGCAGCCTTCGTCGATGTTATATCATTATTTAATTTTGTTCGGCATAGGCGTGATGAATTTATTTGAAGGGGGGCTGTAGCCCTCTTAACAGTTGTTAGCCTGATAAAACAATACTTCAACTCAGGAAAGTAGTTTTGATTCATTAATTATTTAAACAAAATCTTTTAAAAATCAATTATTTCTATTAGCATTTAAACGTGTCATTATAAGCGTTCGTTTATACTCAGTGTTTATTTTAGGAGTATAATTGTTGCAATAGTTTTAAAAAAAGTCGCTTCTAATATATGTATTTTGAAGATATTCGATTTAACAGAGTTAATTGGGTTCAAGCGATTTGAAATAGAGGGAAAGGGAATTATATGATCATAAACTAGTGGTGAACTTTATTTCACGAATACCCATGTTCATAATATGTTATATTCAAGGCATCCGTCACGCCATTGATCGATCTATTTTTATACAGTTTAATCGCCACCGCCGCTATACGTACCTATTATACTTACATTATAAATTTAATAATATGTTATCGTAAGATTATTTACTATAATAATTATACGTATACCCATTATTATTATCATATTCGATGAGTCGTCGTGTGCCTTGTTCGTGTTTTTTTTTAACGCCAGAAATGTGTGTATATCAGGTCCGTGAACGGAGTTCCAGGAGCGTGCCGATGGGCAAGATGGGTGTGAACCGCACAGCCGGCACTCCGGATTCGCTTAGCGACAACGAATCGTCGCCGCACTCGAGGACTTCAGTCGTCCGAAAACCGTCCACTCCGACTGTCAGGAAGTCGAACGTCGGGCTCACTGGTAGTCTACCGGCCAGCCGACCCGCTAGCAGGCCAGCTAGCAGGCCCCAAAGTCGTCCGGGAAGCAAGCCCCCCAGCCGTCACGGTTCCAACCTGTCTCTGGACAGTACCGGTAATTGTTCATTTATTATTATTGTTCGTTATGTATATCGAAGTGCACCCGTACACGTATACATAATCTATACGATACACAACGTGGATCTATTTAACCAGTTACGAATACTTCATTTATTCACTAAAAAAAAAAAAACTATATGATTGAATTTGTTGAATTGCTTAGACTTTTTTCTCCTTGTATCGTCGCAACTGAGGTGAAATACGTAGTACTAATGGACCTGTGCATAGTCCTTTCGACTTGCCGTGATACGCGTTGTGAAGTATCGTAATATTATATATTATGCTTAACGGAAACAATTGGTCCATATTGAATAATTGTCTATGTTTCTGGTACCATGGGTACATATTAATTGTATATATAATAATATATATATTAAATATATATTAATTTTCAATTCATTAAAATTAAATTATCATTACACGGCGTTATGGATAGCCTATTTAGGTACACCACTGCCGTGTGACCATTTTCCAGTATTTCATTATTATTTCAGTGTATAAAATATGTGTAATATCTATTGCGTCTAAAGTTTTTTGTGATCGGAGTGACGCGTGAGTGGTATTTCACAAATTCGTGATAAAGTCCTTCATTCTTTGTAACTTTAAAGTGATTTAATAATTCGTAATAAATCCATAGGTACTATTATGTTATATTATCATTATTTGTTATTTAACACAGTTGTTACATAATACTATAAATGCGATTATGCAAGTCATTGCCATATAACATAATGTAGAGTATGTGATAAATATATTGTTCTCTAATAAAATATGTACATTCATCTTGTTTTAGATTCGACTACCCCAAGTCGCATACCAAGACTAACGCCCGGCAAGACGCCTTCTTCGACGTCCGCCACCCGCAAGTCTACGCTCAACGGACAGACTAACACTGCCGCCAAGGGTGTGCGCTCACCGTCGTTGACTAGCCAATCGCCGTCATCATCTTCCAGGTAATATATACACGCATACATTTATATTTATAATAATAAATATTTATTCTATATTATTATATATATTGTTCAATTATATGATATCTCTTCTGAAAATTTTTCTTGTTTACTTATATTTTTTCCGGAAATGAACATATTTTTAAAAAATATGTAGTACATACCTATGAATTAAATAATAATCATTACCACCATAGTTTATCATTCGTTGGTATCATCATTATAATTATTATTAACTTTTTATAGTATTATTAACTCGCCTAACTCTCACTAACCAAGTTACTGTTATTTATCTATTACATGCAGGTCCCTGTCAATGCACAGGTCGTCGAGTATACCTACGTTGTCTAATTCAAGCTATAGGTAACTAACATTTTTAACATTTTAAGTAGTACAGTAATTATAAATACCTTCAAACATAATTAGTATTTTATGAAACACTCTAATGAGCACGTTCTGTATACAATACAATCGGTGATGGATAAAGTAAAATGCAACTCATATTATAGTCGTGGTCAATTTTACGATCACGAATTACGTAGTTCAATTGTGTGAAACTGTTACAAGTTTGAATGATTCAGAGAAAAAATTGTTTGTGATATGAATGTGTTTTGTATATCCACGAAACTTTTGTAGAATTATCGCAGTTTATCTATCCGGCGGTTATATCAGACACGCTCACACTCTATCTATATATGTAGCAATATATATATATATACGTACATACAATAGCATTCAATCGTTTTCATTTCGGAAATCTCAACTTAGAACGTACAAATATCTATAATATACTTAACTGCATTGATAATCCGAATCGATCGTCGATGGCCAAATGTTTGAGTCCTTATTTAAGTTGTTACAATTTCTTAAAACATTAAATGATGCATTGCTCCTGGTTCGTGACTTGTAAACGTCATAATACGTCAGTCACTACAGGGCAGTTGGTGCAAGATCATTCATTATAGAAGAGTGTTTCTGATTCGATTTATGCGTACACGCAAATTAATTACGTTATTTATTTCTCGGACGGTTGTGCAGCCGTAACCATCACCCGGGTTCGAAAATACCCGTTCTCGCTGTGCATCAGTGTTCCTCGGCGACAGTGCCCACGTTGTCGTCTTCGCCGCCCCTTTCGTCGTCACCGTCCCTTTCGTCATCTCCGTCTGCAGGGTAAAGCGCCACAAAAATCAAAACATATTACATTGTGCCATATGCGTCGTAATACATTATTACTGTATACGCGTTTCCGTTTTCGTTGTGTGTTACCCCGTCAATGCTTTTCTTATTCACTTTGTATGTATTGTTGTTACTGTATTATAGTTTTATCTTGCACGCTATCGCTATCACATCATAATCGCCCTTATCCATATGTGCCACATGTACAGTGTACACGCATTACCTACCGACAAATATATACGAGTACATATAGCTTGTATAATATACAGAGTGATCCATTTAACTTGCTAGGCATTTATTTACTTGAAAATAATGTTTTTTATACACTGTTTATTATATAACTCTTTTTTTTAATTCGTATTTTGAAATGAAAACCCTATATACTCTTAATACTTTATTATACTAAATTTTTTACTTTTTATATTTTTATTTATAACCATTTAAATCTTATACGAGTGTAGCGTATATTGCACCTTATTGATTACTCTATTTCAACTTATCTTTTCTTCACTTATTAAATAATAAAAAATTAACTGAGAAAACTACGAGGTGTTGTAGGTTATATGAATCACTCTGTACATAGATTTCTGTGTGAGCATTGCTAACATAAAATATAATTGTCTAGTTGCACCGCTTATTGTTGTGTTTGCCTACTTACATACAAACAACGTATATATTGCCTGAAATGTGTGTTTTCTAGTTACTTTTCTACCAATTTCATTTTTGTACGTGTTTTTGTTTGATTGTCTGTACGAATATTGTACATAATTTATATTTAATAAGTACTTCTATAACGTCTTAAGGTATTAAGTCATATGCTCTTTTTTATTTTTAAAATCAACTCACTAGTTTAAAATGTGAGTCCAAATGTGATTGGTACAATTGCGAACCATACTCAATATTTTTATGATACTTACATATTTACATTATTAGAATAATGAACCAATATAGCTGTATATTATTTATCTGAATACCGTTTCAGGAGTATACCACTTCTAAAACTTTACAGATAAATAATAATACACAGCTATATTGGTTCAATTTTCAAATTCCGCTCGTAGACGTTTCAAATTACATAAACAATTAGTGTCTTGTGTGTCCTACAGAACGTTATCAATGTTATCATGTAACATATCACAATAGGTGGAATTTTAAGGGGTGCTTACATTAATCAAAGTTCGCAGACCTTCAGTACGATATATTATATCAGTGTAGGTAATTACTTACCGGCAATCAATTGATGTTTAGCTATGTATGTTTTAAGTAAAAATTATTATTTATTGCTTTTCTATTCACTGAAATTTAAAAACGACACAAGACAATACTTACAATGACTAGTTACTACAATAAATTAATAATCACTTGTAATATTGTTATGTAGTATTTAATAACGAGTTATGTGAATATTAAATTTAGATATTTCGTGTAACTAGTTCTAACTTACGATCTCTCGTCAAACAAATGGTAGGTAACAATTATTTAAAAGCTCAATCTCAAATTGAATTGCCATATGATTCCAGCTCAAATAATGTAAAACAGCATATAATTATTTTAAAAAATCTCAAATTCTCTAACATTCCGAAAAAAATTGTTGTCTCAGCTGGGACGCTTGTGTCAGTTTTTCGAGACCTCTAAATTGTGCTTTGGCCCTCCAAAAACCGAACTCCCTTTCCCATAATTTACGCTTATGTTACATATCACCACCTATTATAATTGTTATGTGTATTGTGTTGTCTTTGCCCATAGCATAATTTATTTGCCATATTACTGCGTACGTATGTCGTACATAATGCGCATAGTCAATAGTCATGTACAGTTTGTGTATAAATGGTCATGTCTCGGTTCGCATGGTGTTCATCGTCGTCATGATCATCTACCCGTCTGATTGAAAATAATTTTTGTTTTTGTCTTCCTCGCGCACAGGTTGCAGTCTCCGTTGGCCGCCACGCCATTGTCGTCGTCCGGTCTGTCGCGAAGGCCTTCGAATGCTTCCGAGACGAAACGCAGGGACTCCAAACCGGATTCCCGGGAACCGTTCCGACTCTGAAAACCTGCATGCACCGGAACAAACATATAAAATATGTATACGCATAATTGGTGTTTAACCCCGTAATCGATATTCATAATTATTATTTCACTTAATCAAAACGTTGATTAATCTCTTAATTAATCCTGTCTAGTGTTTTATTTTTAATTTTTAAAAAATTGAGTATTATTATTTTTTACATACTATCTCTTTTTTTGTTGTTCTTGAACTTGTATTCTACTCGTGTGTTTTCTGTTACTCTATAGCAAAAGTCGAAAGTTTTTCATTTTATAAAAATTAAAAAATATCATATTAGTTTTCAAACGCGTTTTATAATATAAAGGTATATATAATATACTATGATTCACTTTTACAAACAAAATCAATACTTTTGCATATATATAATTTATGTACAGAGGATATAATATTATATACTTATTATGATATTCAAGTGCCATTATAACGGAAAAAAGTAATGAAAAAATCGTAATACTGTGTCACCGTTCATATTAATTGCGATCTAGCGGTTCAATATTGTTATTTATTGTAATTTTTTTTTTATATATATATTTATTTTAATGTATATAATCTCTATATACCGATGGTTAATAAATTTACATTAAAATTATTTACAAGTGCCAATATTGTATTATTTACTTCTTCGATATATTTTTCTATGTAACGTGTAATTATATTAAACTTATAACATATTAAGTAATTAATGAATACCATTGAGACACTTATTGTAACTCTAAAAATTAACCAATCGTAACAACAGATGATTATTTTTTAACTATTTATAATATTTAATTGTTTTCCCATTGCGGATTGAATAAATTGTGCAATTGTTTACTTAACAAGTTTGTTATTTATTTATTATACCTATATCATTTTTTTAAGCGCCAAAATTTAGAAAGTGTTTGCTAGCAAAAGTACTTTACGGTTAAGTGCTATAGTGTATGCCTGTTTCCTATTGTACCATATCTATGCATTAGTTCATTGACATGTAGTCAGTAGTATTTAATCAAAAGTTAGTGCGATTTTTTGTAATGTAATAAAATATTATCAGTGGAGGTTTACAAGGAAAAAATGGCAAAATAATACATTTTGTTTCAAAATTCAAAAATACTTATAAATAACACATTGAAATTCTGGAGTACCTACGTAGAAATGGTATTGAAATATAAGATATTACAACAAATATCTGCAACGACCAACGAGTACGTAATTTGTCCTCTATTGGATTAATTTTATTATCTCCCACAAAATTTTAAAGCCATAACATTATAATTTGATATATTCTTAGTGCTGAATTATTCTCATTCATTCAAAACTCAATGGTTTTAAAATTTGTTTTTTTTTTTAAATATTGTTGTCTTATTATCAAATACATTATTAGATTGAAATCGTAGAGGTATTAAATTTATAACGAGAAGAAAATGAACTAAAAACAATTTTTTTTCATAGATTATAAGATTTGAACAAACCGAAAGAATTCATCATATTACATAAAAGTATAAATAGTTCTCTTATTTGGAAGTTCAAGATTTTAATGTAATCCACAACGAATAATTTTAGGTTGGTTCCAAATCCTATGTATACTTAGTTTTTGTATACAAATATGTATTTATACATTTATATATATTTTATGCCCATTAATTGTCCTAAATTAATTATTCAACTATTGAAAACACCATACTTTGGGCACAAGATAAACACCTTTGTAGTATAAACAAGTTATAACAGATTTCATACCGACATCCAATTAAAAGGTAAGTAAAATGTTGTATATTTTTGGTTTGTTTTCATAATTTAAACTTATTTGTAAGAAACAACAACTACACTCTAATATATCTTTCTTCTTTATTTTATGTAAAACGTTTAATAGCCCATTTAGTTATTGTCAGGATTCAATTAAAACAGATTAACAATCAAGACATGGTTCAAAAACAAAATGAGGAGATCAATTATAGTTTATAATATATTACTTATCGTACCTAATTGGTTAGTTACCTAATAATATTTTATCTAATAAAACTATACCATTGTCAGGTATAATAGATATATAATGTAAGTATACCATGATTGTTCTGGCGAGTAACCGAGAAAATCTCAGAGAATCAGAAATATTCAAAGGAGCTTATACCTCTCCCATAATGTGTTTGCATTTTAGATTCAGAGCGAAACGATATGAATGTATTGATTTTACAATGATGTGTATTTTGTTGTTATTTTTTGTGTCTGTGTATACGATAAGTAGTCAAAATAATACTTGATTTTCAACTTCAGTATCTTTTTCGGTGGGATGAGAAGTGAATCTTGTTGGTGTGTTCGGGAGATCAAAATGTAAGAGGTTAAAATTCCCAGTAGTTTTCAAATTCGCCAGGGAAAACAAAATAAAATTAAAGAAAAATAGAAGATTTACGCATAATCGATGTTGACAAAATCGATTTTGGTTTTTGGTGTAACTAAAAAAAAATGATCCATTGCATGAAATTTTTACTGAATAAACATTCAGTACCTACATAACCATATTAGCATTTTCTGTATACTATACAATTTTCAAAATATTTTGTCTCATGTTGAGCGCAGTTAACCATTTTAAAGTTTTTCAGACTCAATTATCTAGTCCCAACATTCACCCAATTATTCGAGACTCTGTTTACCACTCCCGTTTCAGATATACCATAGCCGTGGAGCACATTCACGCCCTAACCACCCACACACACGACTTGTACAATTTATTATTTTCAAGTTGTGTTATATTAAAATAAACTATCATTATTTACATTTACTGTTGAAATTCACTTCAATTATATATTTTTTTAAAACACCACCATCTACGGATATAATGTTAATACAATATAACAACAACACTATATAATATTATACTGTAATTATTAATCAGTATCTATTTTTTCGTCCAAAAATACAGAATCACACGGTCATTCATCAATCATTAGTATGCTCTCAACTAGGTTCGACGATAGGCTTCTGGATTAATCCACTTGTTAATATTGATGTTGAAACGCCAATCGATTATGTACGGATAGATACCAGCTATTGTATTATATTATAATTTGTAAGCACATAACTATTAAACAAATTACAAGTATATACATATATACTTTATAGTTGTGTCCTCGAATTTGTACCACTCATGAGTACCTTACGTACTCAAAACTATAAAAATACGATACTAATGCATAAAGGATATTTGCAACCAGCGTTTTGTATATTATTAATTTATGATTAACAATTAGTAGCATAAAATGTAAATAAATAATGTTTATAAAAATTCAACCATCAATATATACAAAGTAAATACCCGTTTAGCGCGTAAATTAGATTAAATTAGTATTTTGAAATACAGTTCCAGTCCATGGGCAAACATTATGAAAAATATTTAACTTCCTATGAATAATATAAATATCTGATCTTCAGCACAAATTATTATTATTATATATCGTACATAACACGAGATAGAGTTGTTGTCAGTTCGCTGTCTCTCACTTTTTGACATCGTGATTTTGAACTATTGATCGTAGTTTCCACCCCGAGAAGTCAAAAATCATTTTGATAGAAATGCAAAATCTAAAATATATAATATGCAAATATAATATGTACCTGAAATGTTTGCATTATGAAATCGTTTTATTCTTAAACAAAACTTTCTTTAGATTTTATGTTACGCAATATGAATAAGCAAATAGGAAATCCTATTTTCCTTACATTTATAGTATTTATAATTTAAGACACATACCAAAACTCAAAATCAGGTTTATTGCACTTCGTATTTTTTGAATTTTATTTATTTATATATTTCAGCATAATTCAATAACATTATTATATTATACTACATTCTATATTTCTATACAATACGAGTTGGTAAGTATATCAACTGAGTTTAACTCTAATCATGTAAACGGAAAATATGGTAGTATAATATACTGTGTGATCATTGGTGTTACTAAAGAGGTGCACAGAATACTTGTGAACCCTAAAAAAATGAGATGCTTTCTATTATATTTTGGTTATTTTGAGGTAAAAATGATCAATAAATACAAAAACCTTGTACTTTACCTATACTATATATTGAGGAATATTACTAATATTAATATTGCTATTATCATTATGTTCCCAGCTATAACATAATATTATGAAGCAACCTCAGCTTATTTGTTGTATAGAACAGGTCGCAGATAAGTAACCTACTATATAGTTATTACTTATTTTTTTAACATTATTCGTAATAATACTATATTATAAATTGACGAAATAATTTGAACACTGGGTAACGACACTTTTCTTCATCTATGATAAGATCACTTATAGTTTTATACACACCCTAGTCTTAAACGTGTTAAAAAGTTAAAGGTAGGTAATTTAAAAGTTAAGTTTATTTAAATTTTTTTAAATTTGATTTTCATTAAGTTAATTTTTAACGTAACTGGTTTTTATTGATATATAAACTTAATAAATAACGAATTACTTTTAATGAAATCTAAGTTAAGTAAATTTATAAATAATTGAATAATAAATATAATACAATTATTTTTTTTTTTTATTGAACTTAAACCCGGTGACTACCATTAGCTGTTGTAAGGGTTCTGAACTGTGGTAGGGGTAAGGTTGGTACGGTAGGTTGTTTTCACGATTTTTTTACAGTAGGAAGCAAACATGTGTATGTGTGGCAAGGTTTTTAACTACTATGAACCCGGGTGGTCACCCATCTAGGAGATAGTAGCTGAGGTCGTTGCTTACTCCCAGTCGCATTCCACGCGACTGGTAGCAGCCAAACGCGCCAAGCTAAGCCACAATACAATTATTATTGATAATGTATATTGCATAAATATTTATCTTTTATTATTTTAAACCATATTATAACTGATATAACTGGCTATTTAAACATTATACAAATAAATTTAAAAAAAATTTAATTGTAAGTTTCCACATAACTTTTAACTTAACTGAGTTATAAAATTAGGATAACTATTGGCTTCAAACTTATTAAAATGTTTTCCATTAACTTAACTTAACCCAATTAAACATTATCATTAACTTGCCCAAGCTTGGATGTAAGGATAAAGGTTTTGAATTTTCGATTTTATCAAGTTTGAAACGGGTCATAAATATAGTGCAGCAATCACACACAGATCATAAACAATTTTGTATACCGTTCAGCGTTATCCCCAAATGCTCGAATCTATATAATATAAAGAGGTTAAACAAAAAAACTGACGAGATAAGAAATGATCCTGTATAATCTTTTACCTACTCAAAAATCTTTTTCGATAACCCAAAAGTATTATTGGAATACAATGTAAAAACAACGGTGTATAATATATATAAATATAGGCTTAACAAAGGAAACTTCAAATATTTACTTAACGACAGTTTTGAATATACAAACGTATAGAATCTGATATAATATTACAAGTACACTTGCGAGTAGTGGTGTATTAGTGATTGCAGTTTTGAAGTAAATATTCAACACACTAAGTGAATATAAATTGAAAATGTTTAAATCTAAAAAAAAAATCGTATTCGATACGAAGTC